GAAAAAGACGAAGAGAAAATGACAAAAAAGGAAACGTCAAAGATGGTGTGAACTTTCAGGATAGCAATAGGATACAAGGGCAATAGATGCTGTTTGGACTTCTATACACCAACTAAATCTGCCTCAAAACAATGATGATGGTATGACACGTAAAGCTGTGCGTTTAGCGTGTTGGTTCGTACCATTAACATGTGGCCAAGTGTACGAAGAGATGGAAAGATACGAAAAACCGTTCAGGAGAGTATACGCACTGAAATTGTGTTCATAACCCGTTCTTCCTTTCTTGTTCGTTGGAAACACATTTCCTAAAAGATTCTCAAAATCAATCGTGGCTTTCACGGAAGTGAGGGATGTGAGCGTGAGAAGAAGTGGAAGGAGGAAGCCCGACAAGGTTGCTAGGAATTTTCCAGAAGTAGATTGGCAAGGACAATGAGGGAGAACGACCAAGCAAAAATGACGATATGGGGAACGACAACGATCGTGTGAACTTTCAGGATAGCAATAGGATACAAGGGCAATAGATGCTGTTTGGAAACCTTTATCCCAAATAAATCTGCCCCAAATCAATGATGACGGTATGGCACGTGAACCTGTGCGTTTAGCATGTTGGTTCGTACCATAACATGTGGCCAAGTGTACGAAGAGGAAGAAAGATACGAAAAACCGTTCAGGAGAGTATACGCACTGAATTTGTGTTCATAACCGTTTCTTCCTTTCTGGTTTGTTGGAAACACATTTTCTAGAGAATTCTCAAAATCAATCGTGGCTTACACGGTAGTGAGGGATGAGAACGTAAGGAGAAGTGGAAGAAGGAAGCCCGACAAGGTGACTAGGAACCTGTTGAAGAGTGGCAAGGACAATGGGGGAAAACGACCAAGCAAAATTGACGATAATGGGAACGACAACTATGGTGTGAACTTTCAGGATAGTAATAGGACACAAGGTCAATAGATGCTGTTTGGAAAACTTTACCCCAACTAAATCTGCCCCAAAACAATGATGATGGTATGGCACGTGAAGCTGTGCGTTTAGCGTGTTTGTTCGTACCATAACATGTGGCCAAGCGTACGAAGAGGAAAAAAGATACGAAAAACCGTTCAGGAGAGTATACGCACTGAATTTGTGTTCATAACCCGTTCTTTCTTTCTGGTTCGTTGGAAAGACATTTCCTAGAAAATTCTCAAAATCAATCGTGGCTTACACGGTAGTGAGGGACGTAAACGTGAGGAGAAGTGGAAGAAGGAAGCCCGAAAAGGTTGCCAGGAACTTTCCTGACGTAGATTGGCAAGGACAATGGGGGAAAATGACCAAGCAAAAGTGACGATAAGGGAGACGACAAAGATGGTGTGAACTTTCAGGATAGCAATAGGATGCAAGAGCAATAGATGATGTTTGTAATTCTATACCGCAACTAAATCAACCCAAAAACAATAATGATGGTATGGCACGTAAAGCTCTGCGCGGAGCATGTTGGTTCGTACTATAAACATGTGGCAAAGTGTACAAAGAGGTGGAAAGATACGAGAAGCCGTTTGGGAGAGTATTCGCACTAGAAGTGTGTTCATAACCCATTCTTCCTGTCTGGTTCACTGGAAACACATTTCCTAGAAAGTACTCAAAATCAATCGTGGCTTACAAGGTAGTGAGGGATGTGAGCGTAGGGAGAAGTGGAAGAAGGAAGCCCGACAATGTTGCTAAGAACTTTCCTAATGTAGAATGGCAAGGAAAATGGGGGGAAATGAGCAAAAGTGACGATAAGGGACACGAGAAAGATGGTGAGAACTATCAGGATATGAATAGGATGCATGGGAAATAAATCCTGTTTGAAATTCTATAAAACAACTAAATCAGCCCAAAAGTATTGAATGTGGTATGGAAGGTAAAACTATGCGTGTGATTGTATTGGCTCGTACCAGAAACATGTGGCAACGTGTACGAAGAGGTGGAAAAGTACAAGAAAACGTCCGAGAGAATATGCGCAATGAAGTTTTGTTCATAACCCGTTCTTCCCTTCTGGTTCGTCGGAAACACATTTTCTAGAAACTTCTCAAAATCAATCGTGACTTACACGATAGTGAGTGATGTGAAGAGAAGTGGAAGAAAGAAGTTCGATAAGGCTACTATGCACTTTCCTGATGTAGAGTGGCAAGGGTAATGGGGGTCAAGGACCAAGCAAAAAAAGACAAAAAAGGGAACGACAAAGATGGGGTGAGCTATTATGATAAGAATAGAATGCCTATAACACAACTAAATCTGCCCAAAAACATTGACGGTGGTATGGCAGGTGAAGCTTTGTATATGTGTGCGTGTGTGCATGTGTATGCGTGCGTGCGTGCATGCGTGAGAGTGCGCGCGTGCGCACGCCCGTTCGTGCGTGCGTGCGTGCTTATTTGTGTGTTGGCTCGTGGCAGTAAAACGTGATAAGGTATATGAAGAGGTGGAAAGATACGGGAAAACGTAAAAGACTAAATACGAAATGAGATTGAGTTCATTTTCCACTCTTATTTCCTTCTTCGTTGGAGACACAATTTCAAGAAAGCTTTCTTCATCTATCGCGTCTTACACAGTAGTGAGGGATGTGAGCGTGAATAGAAGGGGAAGAAGCGAGTCGGACAAGGTTGCTTGGAGCTTTCCTGATGTAGAATGGGAGAATGAGGCAAGGAGAATGGAGGAAGAAGAACAAGCGAAAGTGACCATAGAGGGAACGACAAGGGGGTGAACTATCAGGATAGGGTTAGAATGCATGGGCAATAGATCCTTTTTTGCATTATTGGTAAGCGAAAGGACCTGCGTGTGTTTAAACATGATGAAGATACAGAGCATACACAAAAAAGTCAATGGCACATTAACCTGACTTTCAAGATTCGATTCCCCTACCTTTGAATTCTTATACGAAACTCAACCCACTATGCTACCGACTGTGTTTAAGTCTCGAAAATTCAATTTTTAAATATGGTGACGAAACACAGCAGCCACGAAAACGGTGCTGTGGAGAATCGATCTCCTTACCTTCTGTAAAAATCAGCCCACTGTGCTACATGAACTGATTAATATTGACACGCAAATTTAATAAACGTAGTATCGGGTGTTCAAACAGCACGACGAAAACACGACTGTTAAGTAGTGCCAGGAATCGATCTCCTCACCTTTGTGTTCACCAACGAAACTCAACCAACTGTGCCAAACGAGTTGTCGCCGAACGGAAATTGATATTATAAGTACAATTGCGACTTCGGTGCATTTTTGTGCATTACGTATAAGCTGGTTTGCGTTTGGCGCCAGCGCAAAGGCGCCAGCGCAAAGGCGCCAGCGCCCAAAGGCGACCGTGCACGGCGCCAGCGCCCACTGCGCCAGCGCCCAAAGGCGCCAGCGCAAAGGCGCCAGCGCCCAAACGCGCTCGCGCAAGGCGCCAGCGCCCAAAGGCACCCGCGCAAGGCGCCAGCGCCCACTGCGCCAGCGCCCAAAGGCGCCAGCGCCCAAAGGCGCCAGCGCAAAGGCGCCAGCGCCCAAAGGCGCCAGCGCAAAGGCGCCAGCGCCCAAAGGCGCCAGCGCAAAGGCGCCAGCGCCGAAACGCGCCAGCGCCCATAAGGCGCCAGTGCAAAACGTCAGCGCCCAAGGCGCCAGCGCCCAACGCGCTATGGCGAAAATCCGGCAGCGCTTTGGCGCCAGCAACCAATGCACCAGCGCAGCCCAATGCACGAGCACCTAGGAAACATTGTGTTTCTTACCAAAATGATTGTCACTATAAGTTCTTTGAAGACTCTGAGTAGTGCTTGTGGTATTCGTCACTCAGTAGTTGGAAGAATATGTCAAGAATGGCCAAGAATGTTTGAGAAAAGCTTCTCAAGAATTGCTCTATGCTAGTACTAGCTTGTGAGGAGATCAATCTGAGTAGTAGCTGCGTAGCGATAGATGGGAGGGATGGATGAGGAGGATGGATTCGAAGGGGGAGGGGGCATTCGAAGAGAGGATGCGCTTCGGAGAATTTTTGTTCAAATTTGAGGTGGGTTCAAAGTCGATCTACGTGTCAAATTCGAAATCAAACTCGAGGGCAAAAGGTGGCAACTTTTAAATTTTGTTCCTTCTAAGAGGCTTGGGCAGGTTTGAGTAACTTTTGAGTTGTATTACCAAAATCAACTCTGCAACAATTTGGCTCACGTGAAATCCACGTCAAATTTACAGAAGTGACACAATTCTGCTTGTGGATGAATCATCTTTCAGACAACTCATCATTTCTAAGACAACTCATACAAAATGGAGAGACTCTAAATAGTGCATCTAAACAGTTTAGCTTAAGGTTGTTCCAATATGACCATATCAAAATCAAAATTGCTGAAAGATTGTATCTAATATAATAGATTGAAAGCCAATATATAAATAGCAAATTAAAATTCAAAAGCATAATATACAACTTAACATAAAATTATAATTGTATTTCTCATATATCCAATGGAATTTGTAATATCCATTTTTAAATAAACATCATTAATCTCACACGCAAGCAACATCTACGGTATCTATTTTACCCTCCAAACAGGTGGCACATTAAATGCACGTTTAATCATTCATCCATTCCAAAGTAGCAATCACCTGCATATGCATTTTTTAACATATTATACTTTTCTTATATCTATGATATATTAATATTTATAGATTGAAAATGTATACCTACGCAACCCATACGACGTTAAACGTCGAGTCTTGTTATTTATTATATACATCGCCTTTCTAAAATAAATATGATCGAATAATTCGTGTATTTCTCCTTATGATAACACAAATGATCTCCTTAAATGCATCTGAAATCGCATACATTATAGATGTTGAATAAATTTAAGTGCTGTAAAGAGATGTAAGGGATGACTAATAACTATCTCCCCTATTTTTGTGTGAAGTCTCTCTAGGCAGAATCCACAATATTTTGTGGAGTTGTCGGCCGTCTCCTAAACGAGATGCGACTGGTTGCGAGGCTTCCAGAACTCGTCGATCTCCACGGCGAAATGAGTCGCATGCGTCGGAACGTGGTGTTTTTGTCGCCGACACCACCACCCAGCCGTGTAAAGCGGTCGTTTGAGCTGCAGGTAGAACTTTCTGAGAAAAAACTATCCTCGATTTCTTCTGGGTTCTCTCGCATTTGTCAGCCCCAGCTGCCCAATCGCAAATTTCGTGCGCCAAACCACCCACCACCCCTCTCACATCCCACTCGTCTCGTGAGGCGCCTCGTCAGCCCGCTCTGCTGGTGGCTGCTTGCCTGCCTCCGCTTCTTTCCACCCGCACCGATTGTCACACCACACCGACACGGAGAGCCCGCGCAACCGAAATGTGAAACCTAACATGCGGCTCGGTAATTTCTCGCACATTCAAAATCAAATGCGTGCTGCACTCGCTCCTTCCAGTAGTTCTCGCAGTCGTTCGTTGTTTCACGCCAACTTTGTCACTGGAAATTCGAAAATACATGTCACACGATTCCGTGCTCCAGACTGAAGCCCTAGTGGTCGACGCTTTCTACTCCAACTCAGCCTACCTCTGTTGCCTCAAACCAAAATTCTCGCGCTCCTCGCGATGGCTGCTCGAACTACTCAGCCTTGGTCGAATCTCCCCCTAATGGTTGTCGCGACCGCCCTCGCCTTAGCCGCCACAGCCGCAGCAGCCGGCGACAGTCTGGTGTTCTGCAAGCAGTACCCCGCGCGCAACCCGAGCAAGTGCCCCGCCGTGCAGCCAATGAGCAGTCTCAACGTGGCGCGGCTGAAGGGGCGGTGGTACGAGGTGGCGGCGTCGTCGGCGCACAAGTTCACGGCGGAGCTCGGCGCGGCGTGCACCGCCTTCGAGTTCGAAGTCGCGCCCAAGCAGAACGGCCTCAACGCCATGCGGTATGCAATTTGCGTCCATGCTCCTCGGTCACCCCACTATCCTTCATGCACTTCAAACCCTTCCCTTCCCAAAACACAGTCGTCCTCTTCTTTTCCCCCACCCTTACAAGACTCTTCTGCCTTCATTCCGCAGGCAACTCGGGAGTCCGATTCCGCCATCTCCCCGCCCCCTGTCTCCTTTCCCTCTCCTTTTCCTTCACCACTCCCCTTGCCCGTTCCCTTCCCCTCTCCCCTTCCCATCCACTTCCCATCTCACCTCCCCTTCTCCCATCTCGCTTTCCCTCTCGGCATGGCCGCAGCGTCACGCGGCGACTCGTCGAGGCGGTGGGTCCCGTGCGCGCAACGCAGGTCGGCACCATCGCCTCCGCCTCCCTCCGCTCGGCGCGCAACCTGCGCGGAGTGTGCTCCGCTATCGCCGGCCAGAAGCTCCCCACGGAGCTCTCGTACGCGTCGCTCGTCAACCAGGCGAAACTTGGTCTGCCGGCCGCCGGCTTGGACGGCAAAACTGCCGGCCAGACGTCCACCAGCCTCTCCGTCATCTCCGCGTCGCTAGGCCAGATCTCCGCGCAAGCCGGCGCGATTCACGCGAGGCTCGCTCGCATCCAGACGGATCTCGCGCCGGTGAATCAGGTCGACCGGCTGCCGAGTCTCAGCGCCCTGCGGAGCAGGATCGGTAATACAACGGAGGCGATCCGACGGTCGGTGCGCGCGATCCAACGGTCGAGAGGGAGGATCTTGAAGCAGGCTGATGCGGTTGGGCGTTATGAACGTGCAGGCGTCTTCTGCGTCCAAGAAGAACCGACTCCAGGTACCACCTCCCCCCACCTATGCGTCTCTGGGCACTTTTGAGGCGCCTCAGAAGCAGTCATCTCCGCTAGCCGCTCAACCCCACGCTCGCCCTGCAGCGGCAGGCGTCATCTCTGGGCACTCTGGCCGCCTCTGCCGCCACCCACCAGCACAGAGTCGACTGCAAAAAAAGAGCATCCCTTCCCTGTCCATTTCCCTCCTCTGTCCCCCTCTCAGCTACTAAACGCCACGCTGGCCCTGCAGCGCCAGGCGTCCGCTGTGGGCACGATAGCCGTCTCCGCAGCCAAGATTGGCCTCCTCTCTCTCCCCCCCCCCCCCGCCACTCCCGCCGCCGCCACGCTCCTGGGCGTGGTTTGATGACTCTCAAAACACCCCATCCTGCCCTCCCTCCCCTGCCACGTTTTCTTTTGCCCCTCCTCCCCCCAACCCCTCTCCTCAGCTACAAAACGCCACGCTGGCCCTGCAGCGCCAGGCGTCCGCTGTGGGCACGCTAGCCGTGCCCGCCACTCACACCTTCTTTCTCTTCGTGCCCTCGCCCCTCCCTCCCCTCAGCTACTGAACGCCACGCTCGCCCTGCAGCGTCAGGCTTCCGCCGTGGGCACTCTAGCCGTCTCCGCAGCCAAGATCGGCCTCCTCTCCTCCCTCGCCACTCCCGCCGCCGCCACGCTCTTCGAGTCGCCCGTCAACCTCACCCAGGCCGTGAGCATGCGAGGCACGCTGGTGCAGGGCAAGCAGGGCGACGGCAGCATTGCAATGAAGTTTGGAGGGGATGCTGCTGTGAGATACTCGGTCGTGCATGCCACGCCGGGATTCGATTTGGTTGTGCTGTATGGGTGCTCTGCGGCGAACCGAGCCAAGCTCGCAGCCACGGAAGGACAGGTGAGGTCTGGTACTGTACCGTATGCAATGTTCCAATTAACGTCACATGTTGCTTCCTGCCACTCACCATCATATGTAACCCCTTGCTCACCAACCCCCCCCTCGCTCGCCAACCCCCTTGCTACCTTTGTTTCCTACTCCTGCAGGCTAAGGTGTTGGTGCTGGCAAGGCATCGGACAGGGTCTGCCAGTGAGCTCTCATCTGTGGAGGCAGTGTTGCAGGCAAGAGGTGTCGTGCTGGGTGGCGCTGCGAATGTGCTGGTTACCACTGACCAGTCATGCCTCTCTTCACATGTGTGTCTCCTCCCTCCCACCCACCCTGCAGGCCAAGGTGTTGGTGCTGGCAAGGCAGCGAACAGTGTCTGCCAATGAGCTCTCATCTGTGGAGGCGGCACTGCAGGCAAAGGGTGTCGTGCTGGGTGGCGCCAACGTGCTGGTTACCACCGACCAGTCATGCCCGTAACCCCACTCAAGAAATACCTCTGGTTCTCCCTCTGCTGGTGTCCTCGTGCTGAGGTCCAAAAGAAAAAAACAGAGCTTGACATACCGTACGTACTTGTGGTGTGTAAAATAGGCTACTGAACCGACGTTACCTAGTTAGCTCTATCAGATGCTTATAGCGGGAATCAGTTCCTTCTACCATACGAGTCCAGGCCAGGGCACCAGGTGGTGTAGCTTACCAGAAACTCGAGCTCTATGGCGGCCCTGAAGTAGGCGTGTCTATTGAATTAGCCACATGTACCAGAAATGTGCCTTTTTTATGTGTGTGGAGCTGCTCTCTATTTTTTTGCCCATGGAGTAGTGCTGTCTGGTGCAGTACTGTCTGGTGCAGTGCTGTCTGGTGCAGTACTGTCTGGTGCAGTACTGTCTGGTGCAGTGCTGTCTGGTGCAGTACTGTCTGGTGCAGTGCTGTCTGGTGCAGTACTGTCTGGTGCAGTGCTGTCTGGTGCAGTACTGTCTGGTGCAGTGCTGTCTGGTGCAGTACTGTCTGGTGCAGTGCTGTCTGGTGCAGTACTGTCTGGTGCAGTGCTATCTGGTGCAGAGTGCCTGCAGCTGTGATTGGAACCTAGTAGAAAGTTCACCTGAACCAGTGCCTTTCCATAGCTGCTGCGCCACCAAAATCCATCAGGCACTGTGCATGTGTGATGATGCGGGCAGCCGAGATTGCACACATCAATTACAGTCACTAACAACCGGGGCTTTCCCCGATAACTTGTACTGTCAAACATCTTACCGTACTATCATCCCTAAGCCTGGAATCACAAGCCACCCCCACTTGTCCATAAACCGAAATCCCACAAGCAACCATTCCCTGCCTTGATCAGTTTCCCCAGACTGGAAGCCTGAAGTCCAGCCTTGTCCGTGAACACAGCAATAGCCTCACCCTTTCAGACTGCACTCCCTTTCAGTGACTCACTGCCGCAGCAGCGGCAGTGGCAGCAGCATCAGCAGTAGCCTCCTCGCTCACATAGACAAAGTAATCCCTCAGAACCTTCACCTCGAGTGGCGACTCTACGAGGCGACAATTGAGTCGACTCAAAATCCACCTCAGTGACTCACTGCTGCAGCAGCGGCGGTGGCAGCAGCATCAGCTATCGCCTCTTCGCTCCCAGCCACATAATAATCCTGCAGAGCCTTCATCTCAATGGGCGACTCAATCAACCCGCGGATGGCCTTGACGGTGGCACGCGCAGAGGCCATGGTGGTGATGATGGGCACCTTCTTCCCCAGCGCTGTGCGGCGCAGCAGCCGCCCGTCCTTCTGGTCCAGTGCGTCCCCTGCTGAGGTGATCACCAGCAGCTGAATCTGCCCGTTGGATACCAGATCGCCTGGTGGAGGGAGCGGAGGGGAAAGAGGGGGAAGCGGAGGGAGGGGATTGAGAGGGCCGTCCTTCTGGTCGAGGGCGTCCCCCGATGATGTGATCACCAGCAGCTTAATCTACCCATTGGATACCAGATCGCCTGGTGGAGGGAGCGGAGGGGAAAGAGCGGGAAGGGGAGGGAGGGGATTGAGAGGGCCGTCCTTCTGGTCGAGGGCGTCCCCCGCTGAGGTGATCACCAGCAGCTGAATCTGCCCGTTGGATACCAGATCGCCTGGTGAGATGAAGAGGAGAGGGGGAGCGAGAGAGAGAAAGAGAGGGGATTGAGAGGATTGCCCTATCAACAGTAGCACAGGCAGTCAGAAGGCCATGAGGGCATAAAGAGCAAAGAAAACGACCATATCCCAAACCTGAGGCACTCACCAGCATGGGGGCGGCCCTCGTGCAGCTTCAGAACCCTCTCCACCTCAATGCCCGCATCCTCCAGCACGTTTGCCGTGCCCTCAGTGGCCAGGATCTTGAACCCCAGCTCCACAAAGCTCACTCATACCCACCTCCAGGTCATACAATCAAGGTCACTAACTCACCAGCATGGGGGCGGCCCTCGTGCAGCTTCAGAACCCTCTCCACCTCAATGCCGGCATTCTCCAGCACGTTTGCCGTGCCCTCAGTGGCCAGGATCTTGAACCCCAGCTCCACAAAGCTCTTCGCCACCTCCACGCCACTCTCCTTGGTCAGGTCGTTCAAGCTCACAAACACCGACCCGCCAGTTGGCAGCCGCTGATTCGCCGCCACCTGCGCCTTCAAAAACGCCTTCTCGAACGTGGCGTCCAGCCCCATGACCTCCCCGGTGGACCGCATCTCCGGCCCCAGCAGCACATCACAGCCGGGGAACTTGTCAAACGGCAGCACGGCTTCCTTCACTGACACGTGGTTGGGGATCACCTCCTTGTCGAATCCGAGCTCTTTGAGGGTTTTCCCGGCCATGATGAGGGATGCGTACTTGGCGAGGGGGTGGCCGATGGCCTTGGCCACGAAGGGCACCGTGCGGGAGGCGCGCGGGTTGGCCTCTATGATGTAGACCTCGCCTGTGGGCATGACTGCGTACTGGCAGTTCATTAGCCCCACCACGTTCAGCCTGCAGGGAAGAAGTGGGGGAGGGGAGGAGGGGAGCGGTGTGTGCACGAGGCGCGGGGTTGGCTTCTATGATGTAGACCTCGCCTGTGGGCATGACTGCGTACTGGCAGTTCATTAGCCCCACCACGTTCAGCCTGAAGGAGAGCAGGTGAGGGGTGTGAGGGGTGACGTTGAGAGCAAACGGTGCATGCATGTGCCATGATTGGTGCGTTTTGACTGGAAAGAAAGAAAGAAAGAAGAGAAGAAGAAAAAAAAAAGGTGATTTATGAGTTGATTGACAAGTCAGCCAGTGAGTGGCAACTCAGCACTACAACCACTTTCCATTGTCCCACCCATGCATCCCACTCACTTGTAATGAGTCGAGTTTTGAGTCGACTCAAAACTCGACAAGCCAGTCAGTAGCAACTCAGCACCACAACCGCTTTCCATTGTCCCACCCCACCCATGCATCCCACTCACTTGCGCGCAAGGCGGGTGGTCCAGTCGCGGATGGTGGCAAGAGCTTCCTCTGAGATGGACTGGGTGGGCAGGGAGCACGCTGAGTCGCCCGAGTGCACGCCCGCCTGCTCTATGTGCTCCATGATGCCCCCTATGGTCACTGCCCCTGTGCTGTCCGCCAGGCAATCCACATCCAGCTCTGTGGCATTCTGGAAGATACACAGGGGGGTATGGCGGAGGGGGAGAGGATGGAGGAGTGAGGCCAAGCACACGCCCGCCTGCTCGATGTGCTCCATGATGCCCCCGATGGTCACTGCCCCCGTGCTGTCCGCCAAGCGGTCAACGTCCAGCTCCGTGGCGTTCTGGGAGATAGGCGGGCGGGGAGTGGGCAGAGGATGGGAAAGGGCATGGAGGGAAAGGGACCAAGTCCCATCTCCCACTCACCGCTAGGTACTTATTGACCAGTACAAGCCTCTCAAGGTGCAACTGAACAGCCGTGACCAGGTACTTGTGCAATCATATATCCCATCTCAAGGACCTCCCATCTCACTTGGCACCGTTTCCACCTCCGTCTCAACCTCCCAGCACCACCGCACCACCAACTCACCGCAAGGTATTTGTCGACCAACACGGGCCTCTCAGGGTCCACCTCAACAGCTGTCACCAGGTACTTCTGCAGCGCCTCATCGTTATACACGATCTCCATCGCGCGCCCTCCCAGCACATACGACGGCCGCACCACCACCGGATACCCCACCCGCTTCGCCACCGCCAGCGCATCCTCCTCACTCCTTGCAATCCCCCCGGGCGGCTGGTTGATCCCCAGCTCATTCAGCATCGCCTCAAACCGCTTCCTATCCTCCGCCGCGTCAATCGAATCCGGCGACGTGCCCCAGATGCGCACCGGGCCGCTCCCACTCGCCGCCTGCAGCTGAGTATTTTCAAGATACTTCTGGATGGGCACGGCGAGCTTCAGCGGCGTCTGCCCTCCAAACTGCACGATGACCCCATCGGGGCGCTCCAGGTTAATCACGTTGATCACATCTTCCACTGTCAGCGGCTCAAAGTAGAGCCGGTTGGATGTGTCATAGTCGGTGGAGACGGTTTCAGGGTTGCTGTTCATCATGATTGTTTCGAACCCTGCGGCCTGCAGAGCAAACGACGCGTGGCAGCAGCAGTAGTCAAACTCGATCCCCTGCCCGATCCGGTTCGGCCCGCCGCCGAGAATCAGCACCTTGCGCTCGGCATCCGGCTGCCCTTCATTCTCCTCATCATACGATGAGTACTGATACGGCGTCATGGCTTCAAACTCCGCCGCACACGTGTCCACGCGTTTGAACGCGGGCACCACCCCCAGCTCCAGCCTGAAGCTCCGCACCTCCTCCTCTGTCGTCTTCAGCGCGTACGCAATCTGCCTATCACTGTACCCGCGCCTCTTAATCTGCTGCATGTCATCCTTGGTGAGCGCACGCAGGTTACCATCCAGCTTCCCCATGAAATCCTCCACTTCCAGCAACTCCCCCATCTGGGAGAGATACCACGGGTCCATGCTCGTCAGCTGCTGCACCTGCCGCTGGCTCATGCCGCGCTTCATAGCAGCGTAAATGGCATACATGCGGTCGGGGTTGGGCACTCGCATGGAGTATTTCAGGTCGTCCAGGGACCACTCGAGCTGCTTCACTGGCTCGCACCCCCACCCCCAGTGGCCCGTTTCGAGGGAACGGAGGGCTTTCTGGAAGCTTTCCTGGAAGGTGCGGCCAATGGCCATGGCCTCGCCGACTGACTTCATCTGGGTGGTGAGCGTGGGCTCGGATCCGGGGAATTTCTCAAAGGCGAAGCGCGGGATCTGCACGTCATCGTGGTTGGTCGTGTGGGAGGGAAGGGGGACGGGAGGAGGGAGAAGTGGAGGGGAGGTTAAGTGGAGGGAAGGTTAAGTGGAGGGAAGGTTAAGTGGAGGGAAGGTTAAGTGAGGAGACGGGAGAGAAACCGGTGAGGGGAGGGAAAAAGGGCCACGGCTGACGTGGAGGAGCGGGTGGGGGAGGGAAAAAGGGGGCTGACGCGGAGGAGCGCAAGACTGTTGTTGAGGCGCGTCAAGAATGGCACTCACCTTGGTAACGACATAGTCAATGGACGGCTCAAAGCTAGCCGGGGTCTTCTTGGTGATATCGTTGGGGATGCTGGAAGAGAGCTCACTCACCTTGGTGACCACATAGTCGATCGAGGGCTCAAAGCTAGCCGGGGTCTTCTTGGTGATGTCGTTGGGGATGCTGGAAGAGAGCTCACTCACCTTGGTGACCACATAGTCGATCGAGGGCTCAAAGCTAGCCGGGGTCTTCTTGGTGATGTCGTTGGGGATGCTGGAGGAGAGCTCACTCACCTTGGTGACCACATAGTCGATCGAGGGCTCAAAGCTAGCCGGGGTCTTCTTGGTGATGTCGTTGGGGATGCTGGAAGAGAGCTCACTCACCTTGGTGACCACATAGTCGATCGAGGGCTCAAAGCTAGCCGGGGTCTTCTTGGTGATGTCGTTGGGGATGCTGGAAGAGAGCTCACTCACCTTGGTGACCACATAGTCGATCGAGGGCTCAAAGCTAGCCGGGGTCTTCTTGGTGATGTCGTTGGGGATGCTGGAAGAGAGCTCACTCACCTTGGTGACCACATAGTCAATCGAGGGCTCAAAGCTAGCCGGGGTCTTCTTGGTGATGTCGTTGGGGATGCTGGAAGAGCTCACTCACCTTGGTGACCACATAGTCGATCGAGGGCTCAAAGCTGGCCGGTGTCTTCTTGGTGATGTCGTTGGGAATCCTGTCGAGCGTGTACCCCACAGAGAGCTTGGCGGCCATCTTGGCGATGGGGAAGCCCGTGGCCTTGGACGCCAGCGCGGAGGAGCGGGACACGCGCGGGTTCATCTCGATGACCACCACCTCGCCGTCCTTGGGGTTGATGGCGAACTGCACGTTGGAGCCCCCGCACTCCACTCCGATCTCGCGAATGATGGCGACCGAATAGTCGCGCAGACGCTGCGGGAGGGGGGAGAGGCGCGGAGGAATGGCAGGGGGCAGAGGGGAAGGTTATTCAAGAGGGTTATCTCAATGACCACCACCTCACCGTCCTTGGGGTTGATGGCAAACTGCACGTTGAGCTCCAATTTCGCGGATGATGGCCACTGAATAGTCATGCAGGCACTGGAAGGAGGAGCCGAAGGAAAAAGGGGATGGGTGGGGGTCAGGGGGGGAGGCAAAGTGAGTAAGACTTACGAGTTGCGATGAGTCTGAGACATGGTGTCGAGCACGCAGCTGGTAGCCTGCCCCTAAACTGACGCCCCTGAATGGTCACCCCGCCTGCCGCCCTCAACTGACGCCCCTGCCCCTGCCCCTGCAGCCTGCCCCTGCCCCTGGCCCTTCCACCAACTCCAACTCTGGCCTTGCAGAACCCGGTATTCCTCGTCAGTGAATTAGCAGGTGCAACGGTGATGGAACACTGTCCCGGGTGTGCACGCCCATGGAGTCAATGTCCTCAATGGAGCACAAGATCACCACGTTGTCCGCTCGATCCCTCCCTGCTGCCCCCTGCCCAACCCCTCCCCTACCCCGCCTGCAAGCCTCACTCCCTCACCTGATACTCCTTGTCAGTCAGCGTTTGTGCAGGAGCCACGGTGATGGAGTCGCCGGTGTGCACGCCCATGGGGTCAATGTTTTCAATGGAGCAGATGATGACCACGTTGTCCGCCAGGTCGCGCATCACCTCCAGCTCGTACTCCTTCCATCCCAGCAGCGACTTGTCGATCAGCACCTGGGGGAGGGAGGCACGCCGGGGCAAATGCGAGAAATTCTGTACATGTTAGGTGAGGTGAGGATACCTGCAAGGACCTGTCAGTAGGCATGTCGGCACGCGCGAGTCGCGCATCACCTCCAGCTCGTACTCCTTCCATCCCAACAGCGACTTGTCGATCAGAACCTGGGGGAGGGGAGAAGGGAGCGGGGTGGGGAGGGGTGAGCACTCATAAGGGCGCATGAGAGCGCATGCGGCGCATGTAAGGGTATGTGGGTATCGCCGCACCCATCAGAACAGACAGACATGCAGGCACCTGTGATGTGGCACGGACCTGCAACGTGGCACGGAACTGTGACGTGGCACTGACCTGTGACGTGGCACTGACCTGTGACGTGGCACTGACCTGTGACGTGGCACTGACCTGTGACGTGGCACTGACCTGTGACGTGGTACTGACCTACAACGTGGCACGGACCTGTGACGTGGCACTGGCGCTGAGGCCGGCCTTGCAGATGGTTTCAAACTCCTCCTCGTTGTACGCGATGCCGCCCCCAGATCCGCCCAGCGTGAACGCCGGGCGGATGATCATCGGGTAGTCGCCAATGTACTTGGCGATCTCGAAACACTCCTGCTCGCGTGGGGGGGAGGGGGGCCGGGTGAAAGGGGGGTAGGGGAGAGACGGTACGGTTGTAACTTGACGCGGGCCGGATGATCAAAGGGTAATCGCCAATGTACCTCGGGATCTCGAAACACTCCTGCTCGCGGAAGGAGGGTTGAAGGGTGGGGCGGGGGAAGGGAGGGTGGGGAAGAGATGGTTTTGAGTCGACGCAGAAAGAACAGTTTGTCGCAGGCTTACTGCGTGCTCCGGCATTTCAATCGCCACGCCACTATACCCCACACTGCCCCGAATCGCGATGGCTCTCCCATACCCACCTGCAGGGTGTTAGCGGTGCCCGACTTGGGGCTCTTGATCCCTAGCTTGTCCATGGCGCGCTTGAACAGGTCGCGGTCCTCCGCCTTGTTGATCGCCTCTACCACCACCACCATCTCACACCCACCATCACCGCTTTGCACCCACCTGCAGCGTGTTGGCGGTCCCCGACTTGGGGCTCTTGATGCCCAGCTTGTCCATGGCGCGTTTGAACAGGTCGCGGTCCTCCGCCTTGTTGATGGCGTCCAGCTTCGCGCCGATCAGCTCCACGCCGTACTTGTCGAGAGTGCCGCGCTCCGACAGCGCCACCGCCAAATTCAGCGCCGTCTGCCCGCCCATCGTCGGCAGCAGCGCGTCGGGGCGCTCGTTGGCAATCACCTGATGGTGGGGTGGGTATAGACGTGGGGGTGCGGGTGGGGGTAGGGTTGCGGGTGCGGGTGCGGGTGGGGACGGGGCTCTCCGACAGCGCCACCGCGAGGTTCAGCGCCGTCTGCCCGCCCATCGTCGGCAACAGCGCGTCGGGGCGCTCGTTGGCGATCACCTGATGGTCGGGGAGACACGGTAGAGATTAACTGGATGACCGGGGAGAGCGAGATGGGAATGTGTAGTCGCAAAGCGGGAAGGGGAATGTGTACCCGAAAGAGAGGCTGGATCGGGGAACAATGAGATCGGGATGGTTGGGGCAGGTGCACGGACAGGCGAGCTGGATACAGTGACAGTGCCGCGTCAATAGTATGGGGGAGGAGGGGAAGGCAGTCGCAGACAAGCCTTCGGCTTCCATACCCCGTTGAAGGCAGGAACGGGGTGAGAACGAAGGGGATGCGGATAAGGTAGAAGGGCGATAGAGGGGAGAATGCAAGCTTTTGAGTCGACTCAAAAGTAGAAGGGCGATAGAGGGGAGAATGCAAGCTGAAGCTAACGCCGGGAGAGCAAAGACAACGTCACGAATGGAGGAGGATGATAGAGAAAGAGAGGGAGGTCGGGAAACAGATGCAGACGAGTCAAGAGAGGTAAGAATGTCCGGAGGAAGCGGAGGGGAAAACGAGGGGCAGGCGAGGACTGCGGCGGACCTGCTCGACGAGTTCGAGCGTCATCGGGGCGACGTAGGCGCGGTCGGCGGTGCCAGGGACGGTCATGATGGTGGCGGATGCACGGACGGGGGGGGGGGGGGGAATGCACGGATATGCGCGCAGGAGACAGTGTGCGTACCTGCTCGACGAGTTCGGGAGTCATAGGCGCGACGTAGGTGCGATCGGCCGTGCCAGGGTCGGTCATGATGGTGGCGGGGTTGGAGTTGATTAGTATCACCTCGTACCCCTCCTCCTTCAGCGCCTTGCACGCCTGCAGTCACGGCGATCAAGCACGCACGCACAAACGCACGGCCGACGTGTAGATGAGATCAAAGAAGAAACAGTGCACGGGAAAACCACCACGATTCTTAATTTGTTCGTTGTTCGCAAGTCGGCATTCAGGATACATATTCTAGCTACATTGAATCAGAAATTCTAATATGTAATTTTCTCCTGCATTGATCCGCCAGGAACGCACCTGGGTGCCAGAATAGTCGAACTCGCAGGCCTGGCCAATCACAATGGGCCCAGCGCCCAGGATCATGATCTTCTTGATATCCGTGCGCTTCCCGGCTGGGTTCAGCGCGTCATCTCCCCACGCCGTGAAGGCCGGCGGCGCGTCCGCGCTGACAGCCTTGGGAGGATCTAGCGAGGCGCGCACAACGCCGCTTCGGCCAGCCTTCTGCGCCTTCACGAGGCCGGAAAGAGCGGCTTTTCCGCTGATAGCTCTCAGCGACGCGTCCTTTGCAACGCGCTCGCCGAAGCAACCGCTGTGGAGGACGCATGCGCGGGACTTGGATGCTTTCGCATTAGTGAGGGTTGACGTGTCAAGCGAATTTGAGGTTTGAGCGACGACGGGCGACGCGTTTAGGGCCGCCATTTCGGTTCTAGCAACCTGATCTGGCAAAAACGCCTGGCTTAAGGTTGCTTATGGCTTATCTGTTTGAAGATCCCTGTGATGTGAGCGGGATCAGGAGCAGCCAATCCCTAAAACAGGTTTTGACCAAACAGCCTGACAGCTAAACAGGTCGCAGCCTCGCATAGACGAAAATCCCAATGTTGAAGTTTGAAATGAACTTTCAAGGAGAAGACTGCAGCAGCGACAGCAGGGAGAGGACTTTTGTGGTGTGGAGGACGAGAGTTGATGGATGGGCGTGGGAAAAGGGAGGACGCGTGTGTGGTGTGGTTTTCAGTGTGGTTTCGTGAATAAGCGAAAGCGTGATGTAGTTTTCCGTGTGGTGTGGCCTTCGATGGCGGAGTTTGGGGGGATTTTCCTTCATTCTGACTGATTCCAAATGTCATTCGGAATACATGCGCGCGCGGAGTTTCACAGGGTGTTTGCTTGCCCTTCAACACCCGCCAATCAGATGCGATCGACGCCGCCAAGCCCCTTGAAGTGTGGCTGAGAGCAATCAGGGGCAGTTTGCGGCGCCTCTTTTGCGCACATATTCTCCCAAACTGAGGTTCAGTGCGCGGAAGCAGCTGCAAAGCCACGTGTAATTTCTCCTCCAACCAATAGGAATTTTGCGGCGCCGAAGCTCGACGCTCTGGTTGGAGATTCAAGGGCAAGTGAGAAGTGAGAACCCAGACTGTGATGTCAACGTGAGCGTGGATTCGTCGACGTGTCTGGTCGAGGATACACTTGGCAGAAGCACAGCAGCCTTCGTGCAACAAAGCCCCTCATGTTTCCGTAGAATGTGGGTCACGTGATAGGAGGAAAACTCATGCTCGCTGTAGGGAACTTATGATATGTATGGACCATTTACGAGTTAGTGCAACTATCTTGCTTCAACAATGTATGATATGGATCTCAAGTAGTCGGAAAATAAAAAACTATAATGCATGGTGCAAAAGACATCCCTCATGGTCTCCTGTTTTGCATGGTAGAAAGCGAAAATGTGAGAAATAATTGTTGATGGTGGGAGAAAATGGATGGCCATGTGATAGAGAAATGTTACCGTACTTCTGTTTCAGTGTATGGTTTTAATCCGTCCGCGTTATTCGTCGTGAAATTGCCAGACCGCACCGTTACCAGACCTGTTTTGGCGATAAATTTTCCTGACGAAAACCACATCACCTGCGACATTTGATAACCATCGACAAACCCACCTGGAACTGGAGCGCACCTGACCAGCAGCAGATGTCCAATCAGCGACGCCACCTCGTCCTTACCGTGTCAACACTCCGACGACACGGGGAGACATACCTTGCCCGGTTGGTGGAGATCCGAACCACACGAGGCTCCCGCTGACGCCACGAGGACGGAGTTTGTAGAGATCCGAACCTGAATTCCCACCAACCACCATTGTCGAGCCTGCGCTCCTCACTGCATAATTATCGGGGAGTGATCCATCAGACTTCAACAATTCCTTACCTTCAGAAACCAGCAATTTCTGAAGGCACATATTAGTGAACTCCAGCATCTGTGAGCATCTCAATTGCAATTTCTTGGTAGTGATATCTGCATCTGACTGACTTGTCCGTGTCCGCCATGGCTTCCGAAGCTCCTGTCAAGAAGGCTTTCATCACCGGTATTACTGGCCAAGATGGATCTTACTTGACAGAATTTCTGCTCTCCAAGGGCTACGAGGTCCACGGTATTATCCGTCGTTCTTCTAACTTCAACACCCAGCGTCTCGACCACATCTACCGCGATCCTCACGTGTCTTCGGCTAAGCTGAAGCTTCACTACGGTGACTTGTCCGACGCTACCGCTCTTCGTCACTGGATTGACCAGATTAAGCCAGATGAGGTCTTCAATCTCGGTGCTCAGTCCCACGTCGGAGTCTCCTTCGAGAACCCCGAGTACACCGCCGATGTCGTCGGTACGGGAGCTCTTCGGTTGCTCGAGGCTGTCCGCAACCACATTGAGAACTCCGGACGTACCGTGAAATACTACCAGGCTGGATCTTCAGAAATGTTCGGCGCTACCCCTCCCCCTCAAGACGAGAAGACGCTCTTCCACCCCCGGTCTCCTTATGCCGTGTCCAAGGTGGCTGCTCACTGGTACACCGTGAACTATCGCGAGGCTTACGGCATGTTCGCCTGCAACGGTATTCTCTTCAACCACGAGAGCCCGAGGCGTGGTGAGAACTTCGTGACGAGGAAGATTACCCGCGCTGTTGGTCGCATCAAGGTTGGGCTTCAAAAGAAGCTGTACCTCGGCAACCTGAAGGCTTCCCGTGATTGGGGTTTTGCTGGCGACTACGTCAAGGTAAGACAAGTGTTCATTTTACATTTTATATCCCTTCCCTTTTTATCCCTTCCCATTTGGATTAAAGAATTATGTTTTGTGCTCTAACCATTTGTCAAACTACTTCTCTTCATCTATTCCCCTTCTTCTCTTGATTACACCGTTTTCCCCATCCTCCCTTACACAATATTTAATAACTGAAATCGCATTTAGTTACATGAACATCACTAAATGAAACGTGTCCTGGTTGATCTCTTCCTTGTCGATTTACAGGGAATGTGGCTGATGCTCCAGCAGGAGCAGCCCGATGACTACGTGCTGGCCACTGAGGAGTCCTTCACAGTGGAGCAGTTCCTGATCGCAGCCTTCGGCTACGTCGATTTGGACTGGAAGGAGTACGTCGAGATCGACCCCCGCTACTTCCGCCCGTCCGAGGTGGATAACCTTCGCGGGTCCTCGGCTAAGGCCCGGGAAAAGCTTGGGTGGAAGCCCGAGGTTGATTTCAAGAAGCTGGTGGCGATGATGGTTGACTCGGATTTGGACAAGGCCAAGAGGGAGCAGGTTTTGGTCGAGAACGGCTTCTTGGACAGTAACTTCCAGCCCTAGGCTAGGTTCTGGAATTTGGGATCTTAGGTTGGGGTATTTATGTGATTTTTTCACAACGGATTGTGTGACTAATGTGCACAGTTTGCCTGTGCAATTGTAAAGCTTCTTTGATATCTTCCCTTCAGCATATTGTGATTATCCGCTGCTGGTTGCAGCCTCCTCAGGTGTGTCTGCACTGCCAGTTGGAGCCTGCACTCAAACTGGTGGCGAGTTATGCAGTTCCAACCGTTCATGAAGCTGCTGCCATGCATGTACTGCTGCAAGACCCGTAGTTGGGTGCCATGCCAACAAGTTCAACGATACTGCTCTCTGCCATTCTGGTACTGAATGACAACTACTCTGGAACTACCGGTACATACCAGGCTGCTTCACTTACAGCTCAACCCCTACCCAGTTGCTGATTTTCCTGTGGTCCACTAGTAGTCTATTATTGCTATCGCGGTACACCATATCCTCAAAGTCAGCGTTCCATATAACGTCCTCATCGGCCACAAAGTAGTCCTCCACGTGGAACAATGGCTGCATGGACGCGCGTTCCATGCCAATCTGCACACATGAAGGCAAGATGGCGCAACAGAAACAAGACGAGCGGGTACTGGTACATGTAAGGCAGCTGGATGAAGGGTTCAGGGTTCTGGGTTTAGGACATTCATGGGAGCATGATGTGCTAAGGAGAGGGAACAGAGCAAGAAGCTCCAACAAAAGAAGCCAATCGATAGGTACTACAAGGAACTTCAGTGTGCCCTCCATTGACCTGCGTTGACTCTGCTTGACTCACAACAGCGAGGCTGAGCTGTGCGTTGACAAGGCAGAGATCGTCTCGGGACCGGTTGTACAACGGGCTGGACTCGTCAATAAGGTGCCGCACTGTCATGCCGTAGCGCTGGTACGAGTCCTCTGAGCGCACCTGCATACAGAGGGGTGGCAGGAGGCAGTGTCAAGATCGATCAGCAGCATCATATGCACTGTCTGTCACGCTGTAGCGCTGGCATGAGCCCTCCAAGAGGACCTGTATGTGGGTGGAAGGGTAGCAGCAGATGGTAGTGGAAGCATGGAGCATACAGTACAGCATACATGAGCTCAGTCACTCTGCAGCGTTAGTGCGGCTCCTTGGAGCGCACCTGTGTGTGGACCGTACGGAAAGCGAAGGGAAGGATGGCAGGTGGCAGCAGTGAAAGAAGCGGCAACAGTGGTAGACGGAGCATCACATCACCATGCCGTCACAGAGAAGGTGCAGGTGAACAGGTACCAGCAGGCAGGTGAACAGGTACCAGCAGGCAGCGGAAACAGGATAACAATTCGTGGTTCAAAAGGCAGCACCACCTTTACCAGCTTGAGGTGGTCAACTTGTTGGAAAAACCGTCCCGTGCAGGAGAGAGTGTTGTGCTTGAGCTTGAGCTCAACCTTCACATCCACCAGCTCACACCTTCATTCAACCTTGGTGCACCAGCAACAGCATTCATACCAGCTTAAGGTGATCAACTTGTCGGAAGAACCGCCCAGTACAGGACAGCGTGTTGTGCTTGAGAGTGAGCTCAACCCTCACATCCACCAGCTCATCTCACACCTGCCTGCACATAATCCAATACCAGCAGCAGCAGCACCAGGCATACCAGCTTAAGGTGGTCCACTTGGCGAAAAAACCTCCCCGTGCAGGAGAGCGTGTTGTGCTTGAGCGTGAGCTCAACCTTCACATCCACCAGCTCGCACGGCTGTGGCCCCGCCAGCACATACCGTACCAGCAGCATGCGCTCACACCCTCTTCCCGCCCCCATCCCACCACCCGTGCCAAACCCTGCTCCGTCCGCCCCACCTCTCCACCCCACCCCTGCAACGTTCCCCCCACCCCCTCCACCCCCTTCCCCCACACCCCCTCCTGCTCCTGCAGCAGTAGCGCCTGGGAACACCCTTGAGGCGGCGAAGGCAGCGCTGCCTCCGAAGTTGGCGCTGCTGATGCTGCGAGAGAGCGAGCGGGCAGCAGGAGGGAAGCGAGCTGGCACGGTCCCCCCCGATCCCCCAGCTGCATTTCCCGGCAGGTTCACACCCTGCTGCTGCTGCTGCTGTGGCTGCTGCAAGGGAGGGGTGATGCAGGCGACTTTGGAGCACAGAATCGGGTCCACGGGTTGTGTGAGCCTCGCAAACACGGCTCCGCTGAGAAACACAAACAGCAGCTGCGCCACTAAAGCATTCACGTTCGCCACCACCAGCGCGTATGGTGAGGCAGGGGCCAACGCGGGTTCTAGTCCTGTGGAGAGCGAGAGGGAGAACATGAGAACTTGGAAAATCCCCCACGCGCACCCCCCTGGGATGATCCCTGCTGGTCCCAGGCGGAAGATGTTGGATTGCTCGAGAGCACGGACAGCGTCGCCGAGGGTTTGAGAGCCTTCGACGACGTTGAATAGGCCGCCTGATGCTGCTTCCTTTGCTGCTGCTGCCGCCGCTGCTGCTGTGGCGGGCGCTCTGAATGCTCCTGCGCTTGCCAGCCCTGTAATAACCGCTCCTGCACCTCCTCCTGCTGTTGCTGTTTCTGCTGCTGCTTCTGCTCCCTCCACCGCTGCTGCTCCAGACGATCCTGCTGCTTCTGCTGCTGCTGCTCCGAGGGTTGTAAGAGCAGACGAACCTGCTTCTGCAGCTGCCGCTGCTGCTGACTCCACAGCTGATCCCACACCCCGAGCCACAGCCATGGCCGGACCTGCAAAAAAGGACTCGTCCTCCAGAGCACTGGCTGCCGAAGCTGCGACGGAGGTTTGGAGATAGGCTAGGAGCGTGTCCTCCACCACCAAACCGTCCAGGTCCGGGAGGTAGAGGAGGGTGAAGAGGAAGGAGAGGATGAGCGGGGCAGAGCAGACAGCGAGAGAGAAGACAAGAGGCGGCTGTTTGAGCATGTGTGAGTAGAGGTTGTAGAGGAGGGAGACTATGGAGGGACGGTGTTGGATTATTCCTAGTTGGGATTGTGCCTTTCTCCCTCTCTCCTCACTCGCTCCTAGCAGGATTCGCATAGGGCTCATATCCTCCTCCTCGTCCACTTCCTCTTCCTCCTCCTTTGCTTTCGTCACTGTGTTTGTTACCTCTTTTACAGTGCCCTCTACTGCCTCTATCACTGTTTCTGTTACATCTCGAACTGTACCCTTTACAGTCTCCTCCACGCTATCCTTAACGTCCATCACTGTGTTTTTTACGTCCTTCACTGTCTCAGTTACGTCCGTCACTGTATCCCTGACGGATTCTGTCACTAAATCCGTCACTTCCTTCACCTTCTCTGTTACATCCTTGACTGAACCAGTAACGCCAATCACAGCATCAACAACGGTGCCAGCTACTGCACTCACCGCCTCCGCTGCCCCACCCACCACATTCCTCCCAGCCCCCCCCCTCCCTCCCTCAGCTTCCTCTCTTGTTACTGATGTCCTTTTAGCCCCTCGCACCCCTTGAGCCAATCTCTCCTTCCCATTTGCTATTCTAGATCCCTCCGCCGCTCTTTCTCCCACTCTCTCCCTTTGCTTCCCCCCTCCCACCATTCCATTTCGTCTCTCCTTTTTCGTGTTCCAAGCCCCCCTCACCTCCACAATCCCATTCCTAGTTCTACTCGTGCCTTCCTCTCTTCTATCCATCCTCTCCTTTTCGCTCTCTTTTCCATCCCTCCCTCCTCCCTCATGTCCCACCCCGCCCCTCTCCCCTTCCGCTCCTCTATCTCTTTCTCTTCCTCCATTCCCTGTCTCTCTCACTCCCCCTTCCTTTCCCCCTCGCGCGCCTCTCCGCAAGTACACCCCCCCCAACTCATCTGCATCCCTAGCGCTTTCCCCTCCGCCCCTCCCCCTCTCCGCGTCCTCCTCTTCCCCGCGCCGGGTCCACACTCGTCGTTTCCGCCTGCGCATCCCCCCATGCACCCCCCCGCTCCCCCGCGCGCCCAGCGATCGCGCAGGGTCGGGACCTCTCGGCGCACCGCCTCCGCGCAGAAACGCCCCGCGCGCAGCCAAGAGCCCCGCCCCGCCAGATTCTTCCCTTCCGAGCGGCAATCGGGGGGAATCTCCGCCGATTTCCCCCAGATCCCGTCTCCGCAAGGCGGTTGGCAGGGTCAGCGGGCGCAAATCGCGGGGATTCGGCACTGGGGGAAGGGCTTGAGAGTGCGGGCGCACGGGCAGAGGGAGGAGGCAGGCGCACAGGCCGCGCGACATGGTGTGCGACGGCGACGGTTCACCGAGCAATGATTTTAGGCGACGGTTCCAGGGCGACGATGTTTGCGATATAGTGGCGACTCGATAGCACTGGCCAAGGGACGAACGTGGCGGTTACAGGGCTGTGTCGGACACGCTTCGAAACAAATCATTTCCGCGCTTCGCGAGCAGGCACGGGGTAACTTTCGATGCGACTCATAAGTTGTTTTGCGAGCAAGCACGGGCCCGTGAGTGCGAGCTATCGCGAATCTTTCACCTTCGAGAATGACAAGACGGGAGTGACGAGACGCATGTTCGGATGCTGTGCTGAGTAGTACCAGCCTGGGACAGGATCAGGCTCAAGTGAACGAATTTGGTCTAGTGAGATTCGGACAGGGCGAATTGAGTGTGCTTCTCTTTTCGCTATTAACTCCTCCGTGATAAATTTGTTTGCTTCATACACCGAAACTGGGGTTTCCAGCTTAGCGGGAACAGGTACCCGGACCCTGTCTTTGTTCTGCCATGAAGCTGTTCGGAACCCAGCTGTCCTTCCAAACCAAGAGACCAGGGCGCCTTCCCTTCCCACTCGACAATTTACAGGCCTTAATCTCCGTCGCGTCTGACGTGGCACTACGCGCTATTGCCACTGGCGAGGACTAGATACGGGAAATCTAATCGATACCAACCGTTGCTTCAAACCCTGGTAGAAAGTCGCGCCTTCCTCTAACGAACAGTGCCCCTCGGAACGCGACTCATCAAGCGGAACAGGCTCGCACGTGCCCTGTAGTCTCGGCGTAGATTTCTCGGACGCGGCGCGGGGAACGCCTTAATCCAGTGGCGGTGCAGCAAGGGCTGCCCGCATGGTGCGGTTGCAGATCGAGTTCAGGTGGGTCGCCGAATGTCCCGCCGGGTTTCTCGCTCACCTTGTAAGGCGGACACGTCGTTCTGTTGATGGCTCGCCGAATTCCTCGATCTCGTCTTCCACTTCCTTGACTTGCCCCGGTCAATATTCCCGCGTTCCCCCTTCTCCCCGCGTTCCCCCTTCTCCCCGCGTTCCCCCTTCTCCCCGCGTTTCCCCTTCTGCCCGCGTTCCCCCATTCCCCCATTCCCCCGGCTTTTCCCCTTCTCCCGCGTTCCCCTTCTCCCGCGTTCCTCTTCTCCCGCGTTCCCCATTCTCCGCTCGTTCCCCCTTCTCCGCGCGTTCCCCCATTCTCCCCGTGTTCCCCCCTTCTCCCCGCGTTCCCCCATTCCCGCTTCCCGCAGCGGAGGCTTGGAGCTGCTGTTCGGCGGAGAGAAGAAGCAGAGCGTGGATGTGACAATAGCGGGGGCAGATGATCAGGTGCTGTACCATGCACGGGTGAACTGTAGCAGGCGCAAGCTGGCATGCCCCCACACACGCTCATGCTCAAACGTGTGGTCACTGGTTACCAACAGTAACTTGCTTGCGTGCACACTCATCCAGTCACATGTGATAGCATGCAATGTTTCAACACCGCTTCACACATGTCTGCACCCATTCACTAGTCCAAATGCTCGTTCATTTGCATTCGCTCAAAAAATACCTTTCACCTCCTCTCCCCACCTTACTTTCTCCCTCCTCCCTCCCTCCCCCTCTCTGTGCCAGCTATCCATGGTGCCGCTGCTTACATGGATGAGAGAGCATATGCTCAAAGAGCAACCAGAGATGATTCTTAAGTTAACCCCCTACCCCCCCTTTCTATCCACTCTCTACCCACACTCCCAACAGCTATCCATGGCGCCGCTGCTGGCGTGGATGCGAGAGCACATGCTCAAAGAGCGACCAGAGATGTTCCTCAAGGGGCCCACCGTGTGAGTCACACACCCCTCTTAACACTGACTGTAGACAAACTATCCCCACTCCCGCTAGCATCCTCTGGATATTCACACCCCGCTCCCTCTCCCTGTGCCATCCTCATCTGGTTACTGTGTGCTGTGCAGGCGGCCAGGTGTGCTAGTGTTGATAAACGACGTAGACTGGGAGCTCACAGGCAATCTGGAGTCCACGGTGGAGGATGGGGATAGAGTCACATTCATTTCCACACTGCACGGGGGCTAGGCATGCACCTGTACTGAATAGTAGAAGAATTGCATTGCTAACTGGGAAGCAACACCCTACAGAGCTGTTGGCCTTATTGCCTTACCGTACATTGACCTACTAAGCCAGTATGCGCTTTTTGCAGCAGAAGGGCTCTGCTTGCTGATCCAACGGGCTGCAGGAGGAGGCTAAGTGACTGAGTGTGGGCCTCTTGCACAGGAGGTTATTATTGCTCCTCTTGAAATGCTTTTCTCGCTTCTTTCAGCTCCACGTTCATAGCCAGTAACTCCCTGGCTCTTGCGAACTTGCGTGGGTCCTGCATGCACACAGCACACAGCACAGTAACCATGCGGACACATGGTGGGGAGGGGGAGCGGCAGAGTCAATGAATAAGGGGAGGGGGAGAAAGTGAGGGGGGAAGTAAAAGAGAGGATGAATGAGATACGGGAGATGGACAGAGCGATTGGGGGAGGATGAGCTAGAGAGGGTGAGTAGGGCAGGATGAGAGAGCTGACAAGAGAAAATGAGTTGGAAAATACATGAGAGTGTGAGTGAGTGAGTGGGTGAGAGCGAGTGAGTGAGTGAGCGACTGAGCGATGGAGTGAGTGAGTTGAGAGAGTGAGGGAGTGAATGAATGAGTGAGCGAGGCGAGGGGACAGGCCTTGCGGATGAGGAAGAGCACGTCTTCAGTGGTGAGGCGGCCGCGCCTGGCCGCCACCTCCTGTGCGCGATGCACCAAGTCAGTGATGTACTCGATCACTATCTCCTCCACTAGCTCCACTGACTCTGGCAGGGGCTGATGGGACACATTGAGAGAGTGAGGGAGAGATAGTTAAAGGAGTGTGAGGGGTTGAGCGGTACACGAGGTCAGTGATGTACTCGATCACTATCTCCTCCACTAGCTCCACTGACTCTGGGAGGGGCTGATGGCACACAACGCAATAGGGAGAGAGGGGTATTTATATATGCGGCAGTGCAAGGGTGTGCGCGCGATGCACGAGGTCAGTGATGCACTTCATCACTGTCTCCTCCACCAGCTCCACTGACTCTGGTAGGGGCTGATGACACACACGTGTGGGCACATGAGGGCTAATGTGACACATGACAGCATGTGACGGCATGTGACGGCATGTGACGGCATGTGACGGCATGTGACGGCATGTGACGGCATGTGACGGCATGTGACAGCATGTGACGGCATGTGACGGCATGTGACGGCATGTGACAGCATGTGACGGCATGTGACGGCATGTGACGGCATGTGACAGCCTGAGATGGCATGTGGTGTGGGGCATGCGTTCAAAGGCAGGGTTTAGGTGATGGCGATGGTGATGGTGATGGTGAAGGTTTAGAAGCATAACATAAGCTATTACGCGCAATGATAACCGACAAAAGGAAGGAGCAAGGGCTCACCTCGGGATCATCCCCAAAGCCATACATCATGAGCCGCACTGCCGCATCACCGACGCGACACAGAGCGGTTCGGATGGGTGGACGCACCAAGGCGCACATGGGAGCACGTGGGAGAGCACATGGGGGCACATGGGAGCAGCACGATGGAGTTAGTACGCTCAATGAAACTGCATGTGGGGTGAACAGTGACGGTGCATGGAAATATGCATGAAACCTGCAAGCTCAATCTCTCTTCCGCTTTCTCCCTACCCTTCATCCCAATTCTTCTATCCCCCCTCCTTCTCTGCCCACTCCTCCGCCCCCTCACATTCTCGCAGGAAGATTCCCGCCTTTTTCTTTGATCCGCCCAACTCCTCCGCAGCCGCTTTCCCCTTCGCCCGCCCCGCTCCCCCGCCTCCGCCGGAAGGTCCCTCCGCTCCCTCATTCCCCTGCATGCCCGCGGGCGCGCGGAGCACGGTGACGCGCAGAGCACGCCGAAGCGCAAGGCGAACGCTAGAGCAGGCGGATGCCCGGCGCAAGGACTGAGCCGCGCTAGCAGAAATGATGGGTGCGCGGAAGGGACGCGACCAGAGGAGTTTTTTACCGAGGATTGTAGGCGATGGTGGGAAGAGCACGGCGGAATTATGCTCGAAAATAGCAGGACGTGCGGGGGAGTTGCAAAAGTGCAATCGCGACACGGTGCCAACGGAAAGTGTGGTGCTGTTCGCCAGCACATCGTTTTTTAAATTGAAAACGACGGCATCAGCAGAAACGGGGGTGGAACCCTCCTCCGAGGTTTGGGCGAAATGCCGCCCGAGAAACTACGCGCGCCCGCAACCGCGTCGGGAAGGTCCATCCCCACCTTCCCCACAATGGCGCGAAATTTGCACATCACTAACCCACCTGCTGCCCGCTGACCAAAAAATGCTCAACGTGGGTAAAAAACGGAAATAAAACGTACCCCGCTCAAACACAACTCCCCCCACCCCGCGCTCAGTTCCAGACACAACTCACACTCCACAAACACCTTTAGGGTTTTCAGAAACCCCCCTGTTTTTTTTTTTGGGTTGCGAAGCAACCCTTTACGATCGATTTTGCCAAATTTTATTTTCATATTTATATTTTTTAAAATCATGGAAATAAAATGTGTCAACTACAGTAATACCCTTCCCATACTGTATGCATGTTGAGCAGTTTTGAATACGGTCCTGTTTGTAGTTCATTGAACCATATGATTTGCTGTACAGTTTCCATTATGTGTTACTGTTAAATGATGATGTGTAATGATAAGAGATGCATACGTAATGCATAAATGATGCTATACAATGCATAATGCATGGAATGATGCTATATAATGCATGTGATATGTCATGAATGATGCACATGCACATGATAAAATGCGTGATAGTTAACAACCCAAAAACTAAGCTACCGCCATCCCCTGCCTAGCATGGGGGGGAGGTCAATAGCTTAGCTTTTGAATAATCAACTATCACATGAAACAACACAATCTGTGAAGTCTAAAAACGAGATCAACCTACCAAATCCAGTTCAAGTGAGCGTACCCGTTCGAGTGTAACTCAATGAACCTTTGGGAAATGATAGAACTGATTCTCATTTCTAAAAACCACAGACATGCATTGTTAATGAAATAATAGATGGATAATGATATGGTAGATGAATGCCACACATACGGACACATACGCACGCAATCAGACGGACACACGCACGCATAGAAGTTCGGAACAAGCCAATGCAAAAAGAACTTACGAAGGAAAAAAAAAAAAAACACAGAAGATGCAAAAAATCACTACCAAGCAATACAACACAATTAGTCCTAATCGCCACATATGTGATCGTTCCTCCTTTAACAAGGACCTTCAATTCCTGAATGGTACAGCAAAGCTTCTGAAAAGTAGGAAATAGGGAAATGAAAGGGGGGAAATGGGAAATAAGAGTTGAGGGGATATAGATGGCGACTTTGAAAAAAAAAAGGACTACAGGCACAGAGAGAGAGAGAGAGAGAGAGAGAGAGAGAGAGAGAGAGAGAGAGAGAGAGAGAGAGAGAGAGAGAGAGAGAGAGAGAGAGAGAGAGAGAGAGAGAGAGAGAGAGAGAGAGAGAGAGAGAGAGAGAGAGAGAGAGAGAGAGAGAGAGAGAGAGAGAGAGAGAGAGAGAGAGAGAGAGAGAGAGAAAACGAGACAAGAGAGAGAGAACGAGAGAGAACGAACGAGAGATAGAGAGAGAAAGGGTTCATTAAATTACGATTTTAACGATTTGGAAAAAAAAACATGTGTAAAAAACAAGATCTAAGCCGACCTAGTTTAGATCTAAGTCGTCCTATGTTAGAATTATAGTCGACCTAACAAGTATCAAACGAGTTTAAGTTGCAAGTTAGGAGCTTACCTAGCGGAAGTCCCGTAGCCCGTCAGCAGAACGAGAGAAAGTAGGAGAGGGAGGGCTAATCAAGAAAAAGAAGTAAATGACGACAATAAGAGCTTACATCTTACCATGGGCTAACAACTCTAAATGACATCTTAAACTTTCTGACCTTAGAGTGGTAGGTGGAGCGTAAGTAGCGTGAGGCAAACGAACAAGCTCCACTGGCGAGAAGAAAAGAGAAAGAGAAAACGAATACCTAGAACCTAGAACCTAGGCTTAATCAACTGGTTTTAAAAAACACGGCCAACACAAGAGTAAACAACTATGGTACGAGATTAAGACATGCTAGTCTCATTAGTAATCATGTAACTTAATTTCACTTGAAACGGTAAGGTAGAGTTGTTCTCACCTTAGTAGGAACCGGTAGGTGGGGCGTGAGTAGCGGGGAGCTAAACCAGCGAGCAGAAGGGAGGGAGAAAGCAAGGAAGAGCAAACCCTAACAAAGAGTCAGATTCGTCGTATTAACAGTTAACCTATAAATTGTCGTTGCATTTCTGAGCAGTAGCGCTAGTGCAGTCGTAAGAGGAAAAGCATTAGAACCGAAGGTACCAGGATCGAATCTTGCGGAAGTTGTTTTTGAATCATTGCCATAAATGTCAACTTCCACAGAATTTTATGTAAGTATTCAAACCTGTAGAAATTTGTGTACTTATCTTTATGTAAAATGCTTCGCAACCCTAAGACGATTTCGTCGCCTCTTGTTTTTTTTTTTTTTTTTTTTTTGCAGGAGGTGAAATTACATTTTACAATGCTAAAACACCACCTATCGGTCGTAACCGTGCTAGAGGGCGTAGGTATAGCATACCATACCCTCCCGGATGCCTCTACGGTGGTTTGAAAATCAGGTGCCTAAAAATTGCAACCTGACCGTTCAGAATTCCCATTGCGCTGTTGGCACAATTCAGATCCATCTGGGTCACGGGGGTGGGGTTTTGCCAATTGTGTTGCTTCAGGCTTGTTGCGGACCTCCCCTCCCTCAGAAAGTTGGTTGCTCTGACTGATGCTTCGTTTTGGGAGCGGTACAGAGCGGTTCTTGCCACAACCTTGCTTGGGTGTACTCGCAGCTGCTTCTCGAGCAATGTGACGGGAGATTTTCTGAACCTCCTCCTTGGAAGACAGTGTTGAATGGAAACTGCAGCGTCTGGTCCCACCCTGCCTGAATTCCCTCCAGGCTTAGACTGAAATGTGACCGTAGCAAGCCGTAGATTAATATACTCTATTTGCACAAATGGCTCTTGAAGATTCTCGGAACCCGTTAGGGTTGTCGTGTCAGAAAAGGTATCTTCGTCGTGAACTCTTATGAAATCCATTCGGAGTAGTTCTCGATCAACCGCACCTTCACTAACGTTCTCACCATCCAGGTTTGTGTTAAGAGATAAAAAATCATCTTTAGTTGCATCAGCAGCTACGTTAAAAAAGGGTAACTCGTTGTGCCCCGCCGACTCGTTGGCTGCAGAAAACGAAAGCCGGAAAACATTCCGCAGAGGAGCCTTCTTGTACATGATTTTCGAGGTATTTGCACTTCTGACTGTTTTGAAATGACGTGGAAACCTTGGACTCTCTTCTACCATCAGAAACCCCTTCGAACGATGCCTTGAAACTTGTGTAGAGTTATCTGGCCGAGTAACAGAGTTCTTCCAGAGCTTAGTCGGCATCCAAATGTTCTCTGTGTGAACACAATGTTGGTGACGACAAAAAGCTCTTGTTGTGTAGACTCCCAAAAGATACTCGGAACCTGTAACTGACACTGTTAAGTTAGACATTGCTTGGGTTGAAGTTCTTGATAGGAGAGGAGGCGGAGATCCATGGCGGAGAAAAGTCATTGGCAACAGTGATCCGCGGGAACATTAGTGGTAGTGCTCAGCGCCCGTGAAATGATGGTGGCGATGAGCAGAAGAGTGTGTTCAGTACTCCATCAGAAAGTGAACTGAGTAGTGTGAAACCCCCCTGTGTCAAAATGAAGGCTTGTTCGAGGGTTCCCCTGCACAGCAATGCGTCCGCGGTGCCACCGCTGTGCCACCGCTGTGCTTCGAAAAACGCAGCATGACGATGGCATTGCAAGGGGATGGTGTTTTGCCTGGGGAGGAAGTTTCGTCCCCGCTTCCATATGCCGTCGAAACGTAAAAGTCGGTGTACAAAAGTGGGCGTTCGCCAGACGCCCACTTTGTTAATTGGTTTGGACGGTTGGTGAGGCTCGGCACATTTTTCACGGGCTGACCAAGCTGACGGAGGTTAACGAACTCTAACTGACGGGATCAGGAAGGCGAGACCCACCTTCCTGATCCCGTTGTTATCCCGTCGTTTTCAGTTATATTGGTGCTGGCGAACAGCACCTGTATGTGGCGTGGGCGTTGCGCTTCACAAAGGAAGGTTCAGCACTCCGGTACTAGGCTGCTCGCCAAGTAGCGGTGCAACTGTATTGATTCACAATTTCACATAAATTTAACTTCTGCACTCCTAAACCTGCTACATGCTCATACATCAATTCAACAGCATGCAATAATTATGTGCTCTTTTAGCTGTTCAGATCAGTTTCACTGTTCCTATCAGCTTTATCGGCTGAGGAAAACGCACACGAGTGGCCTCCCCACATTCTACCGCACGCGGCAGGTCCAACGACTGCACCGCCTTTGCCCCCTCCGCTTGCCAGAGCTGCTCATACGGGTGTGCAAAAGAAAATCAGATCTGGTTGAGAAAGGGAATGTGTAGTGACACTTCTGGGAGCGCAGAATTGATGGATAATGGACAAAAAAACAGAACACGTCCACACACCCAACATGCTCACATATCCCACATGCCCATACTGCTTACAGTGATGTGCGCAAACTCATTCAGCGATCGAACCGCATCCCCCTCCTCCCCTCCCCTCAGCTCCACGGCGAGTGCAGCCACGTGTTGATCAAACAGCAGCGCCGTTGCCAGCACAGTCACTGCACGCCCCTCCATGGGGGCATACCCCACCACTGCCGGCACTCCCTGCTCCTTCTTGTGTGCCAGTGTCACGTGCAGCCACCCCAACCCCCTGCTGCTGCCACCACCACCACCACCACCAGCAGCACCAGCAGCAGCAGCAGCACCACCACCGCCGCTACCCACTTCCAATTTCTTTCTCAGAGGGCCTTCCGCCGTTTTCCAGAACTCTGCCATGCGCGAATCAGATCTTGCCAGCTCTTCCAACGTCCGCAGCAGCTGCCGCCCGCTTGTTGCCACGTCAGCACCCCCCTGCGCCACATCAGCAACTGGATCAATCACCACCGCTGCCAGTTGGATGCTGCGGAAGCTCGTCTTCGCGGCGACCACTGGGCGGATTTGTCCTGTAGCGATCTGGTGAAGCTGGTTTTGGACTGTAGCGACCACTTCTTCCAAGGGCAGTTGGATGGATGTGAGGTAGGGGGCATGCTTGTGCAGCACCGCTCTCAACTCCCCCTCCCACTCCAACACCTCCTCTGCCATGGGCGTTTTCAGAGGCTCCTTGCTGCAAGAGCCACAGGGGGATGGGTGAGGATGCGAGGGGTGGAGATGTGAGGGATGAGAGGGGTGAGGGGGATGTGGGAGAGGAGAGTAAGGATTGTGAGGCGAAACAAGTGTGGGACGACGAGTGGAGGGGTTGGGAGGACCGGTAGTGTGAAAGCAAGACCAAGAGCAAGCTAAAGTCCGGAACATGACATTCCAGACAAAAGGAAACATAAGTTCTTCTGGAATAATGTGCTCAGCTCATGCCTTATGCCACTCCGGCCTTCCTCCCTCCCTCCCTGCCAAACACCCGCACCGCACCCTTTGTGTCTTTTCCATATCTTCTCCCGCAGCTTGTGCCCCGACTTGATGACGCCAGCTATTTCTTCTGGTAGTGGTGGGCTGATGAAGTGCAGGTACGAAGAAGAGAGGAAAAAGGCAGGGCAAGGAGGAGATGGAAATCAGAGATCATGAAAGGAGGATGAGTCCAGCGGAAGCAGTGGTGGTGGAGGGTGAGGAGCAGAAACACAGAGAAGATCACTCAGGCACAAGCTCATGGTGCCACGGATGATCATTCTCCCCACCGACCACACACACTCACGAGTCAGGCTTGACTACAGGCATGGTCACAAGCACACCGAATCGCTGCTTCAACCCCGCCTCAAAATCCTCTCGGTTCTGCACCAGCGAGATGCAGGGGTGGGTGGAGGTGGAGAGATGAGTGAATGCAATGTGATACCAAGAATGTGAGACCAAGCACATGAGACCAGGCACGTGGGACCAGGCACGTGGGACCAGGCAAGTTGCGGAAGACGCGTCTAGGGCTGATTAAACGCTGGGTTAGACGCAAGCCCGGGAAGGCAAAAAAAAAAACGGACAGCCAAAAAAGCCTTCTATGGGGCATGGGGAGGGACATGGACGTAGCTAACATTTGAGGCAATTTTTAGGTCTTGATTTTTTTATTATTATTATTTTTTTTTTCCGGCCTGCTCAAAAACGTCTAGCGTCTATGGGTGCGTCCTGCGTCTAGACGCAGGACAGTCCTGGCGTCTTCCGCAACTAAGCGTGGGACGAAGCTTTCAGGACATAGCATGGCAAGGTACAGGAGGCAGAGCATAGAGCAGGGTGGGGTGGGACTCACATGTCTGCTGTAAAGCGAATGGAAGGAGAGTACCACTTGGCCTGGTGCCTTTGAGGCGCCTAAAAAAATCCGCGTGAACTGAGACGACGTTTGAGGCGCCTCAAAAGGCAGGGTGGGGTGGGACTCACATGTCTGCTGTAAAGCGAATGGAAGGAGAGTACCACTTGGCCTGGCGCTGGTGAGCTGGCATCCAGATCGCCCTGAGATGTGAGGGGAGGAGGAAGAGACGTGGTGAGGAGTGGGAGAAACCGTGAATGCTGACCCACCTTGGTCTGTCTCAAGCCAATGTGTAATGAAAATCCCTGTCGAGTTGAATTCGTTTTGAGGCTACAAGCCTAAACGACAGCCAAAGACATAGGTTTTTGTGAGGACGTTCGGAATGGAGAAGGGGTCTCACAGGGTGACTTTTGCGTCGACTCAAAAGGGTCTCACGGGGTGGTTGGTGCGCTGAATGACGCGGAACAGAAACACGGCCAGCACTCGCCAGTCAAAGGGGTTGTGCAGTGTGCCTGCACGGTGCAGAGCGGTGCAGGGGAGTGAGATGGGGTAAACGGCTCTGCCAGGTGACAACACTGTGCTTGCATCCTCTGAAAAGTTGAACTGCAGCAAGCTTCACGCTTCAGAAAATCAGAAATACAGACCTTACAAAACGGGAGGAACAAGAAACCTGGATACATCAGCTTTAATCTCCACCTCCCCCTGCCCCCCCTCATTCACCACCTCTCCTCCCTCCGCACACTCTCCACAACCATCAGCACACACCCATGCTATCCCCCCTCAAACCCCCCTATCACCCTCCCCCGGACAGCTCACCTAGCGAGGCAGGCACAACAGGCACGCCTATCAGCCCTGTGTCGTGGCAGATAGCTTCTATCTGGACGGCAAACGGAGGTGGGGGGATGGAGCGTGAGAAGCAGGAGGGAAACTTGAGAGTTGATGCAGTTCCCACATGACTCGAAGCCCAACAGTCCCGTGTGGTGGCAGATGGCTTTTATCTGGCCGCCAAACACGCGTTCGGGGATGGGGTGAGAGCAACAGGGGGGAAATCCTGAGCTGATGATGCAGTTGTGTTGTGAGACGTCTTAAATGCCAGGAGCCCTGTGCCGTGGCAGATGGCCTTTACCTGGATATCAGCAGTGAACGCGTGCTCACAGGATGAGCACATGAGCATGAAAACATGTGAGCCGAGTAAGCAAGTGCACATGGGCATGTGAGGATGAGGGTACGCACCTGGTTCCACACGTCCTCGTTGGGGGCGTTCTTATCCGCCAGCACGTTCACCCTCGCCTGCCTCTCCTTCCTCATCCGCGTCCCCAGCACCTTCCAGTACTTTCCTGCATAACAGGGACCGGTGGGATGTGGTTGGATGTGGTGAGACGTGGTGAGAGGGCCAGGGAGAGGCAAACAGGATAGCAGGCAAAGTAAGGGGAAAGATGCATTATGATGTGCCATAATGTACCATGCATGCAACCATGCACCCACCGATTGTCTTGTCGCCCATAATGTGCAAGCATTCCCTCCCATCGCCCAACGGCCCTCCACCCTCCTCCACCTCCCCTCTTCCCTTCCCTCCCTCCTTGCTTCCTCCCCCAACCCCTGTCACTCTCTCCCCTCTCCCTCCTCCCCTTTTTCCTCCACCTCCCCCTCCTGCCCCCCTTCCTTTCTCCCCGCCTCCTCTCCCAGCCTTCTTCCCCTTGCCCTTCCCTCTCGTCACCTCCTGCCACCCATCCTCCTCCTCTACCGTCCCTGCCTCTGCCGCCCCTGCCTCTGCTGCCCCTGCCTCTGCTCCTGCAACAGAAGATCCCTGGTCTGATCCAGGCAACGAAGAGGCTGGATGGCCACCGTCTCTCGCTCCCTGCGCAGACGACTCGCCCTCCCTCCTGCGCAGACGGCTCTCACTCCGTGCGTGCTCAGCTGAATCACCGCCCCCACTGCCCCCACTGCCTCCTCTACCCATCTCCATGAGGGCTTCTGAGAGAGCGGATTTGGCACACCCAGGAATCCCTGGGAAAAACACCAATAACCCCTTGCTCTGCTCCCGCCTCCCCTCCCCCTCACTCTCCTCCCCCTGCGTCCCCTCACTCCCCTCCCCTCTCCTCGCCTCACTCCCCTCCCCTCTCCTCGCCTCACTCCCCTCCCCTCTCCTCGCCTCACTCCCCTCCCCTCTCCTCGCCTCACTCCCCTCCCCTCTCCTCGCCTCACTCCCCTCCCCTCTCCTCGCCTCACTCCCCTCCCCTCTCCTCGCCTCACTCCCCTCCCCTGCTTCCCCCTCCCTTGCAGCCCCCACTGCCTTGGCCTGTGCTGCTCCCCTCTTGGCATAGGCAGCAAGGAAGGGCTCGGCATAGTTGAGGTAGGAGTTGGAAGAGATGGACTTGGCAGGGCGGGGGGAGGCGGGCGGGCCCAGCACATAGTCAGCCCTGGGGGAGAGGAGGATGGGGGAAGGACAGCCAAAAACAGGGACGGGGAAGAACATGGGGGAAGAGAGGGCTGAAAAAGGGGAGAGGAAACAAGAAAGCGAGAAAGCACTCGGCATAATCGAGGTAGGAGTTGGAGAAAATGGACTTGGGAGGGCGGGGAGAAGAAGGTGGGCCCAGCACATAGTGCGCCCTGGGGAAGTGAAGGGGCGAGGAATAACATGGGGGAAGGGAAGGCGGAGAAAGAGGGGATGAAGGGAGGTGGGTAGGCAGCAAGAAAGGGCTCTGCATAGCCGTGGTACGAGTTGGATGAGATGGCCTTGGGAGGGTGGGAGGACGAAGGTGGGCCCAGCACATAATCCGCCCTGGGGAAGTGAAGGGGCGGGGAATAACATGGGGGAAGGGAAGGCGGAGAAAGAGGGGAGCAAGGGAGGTGGGTAGGCAGCAAGAAAGGGCTCTGCATAGCCGTGGTACGGGCAAGGAGGAGTTGGTTTGAAGAAGGGACTAGGAGTTGGTTTGAAGAAGGAACTAGGAGTTGGTTTGTAGAAGGAACTAGGAGTTGAGGGAAATGGGTGACGGAAAATACAGTGTGCAGTGTTTGAAGAGCAAAGAGAGGCAAGGGAAGGGTAGATGCGAGCGTGCAGCACTCAGCATACTCTGCACTGCACACCGCACTGCACCGTGCGTGCACACACCATGCTCGGCAGAGGGCGGTCATCTCCCTGGTGGCAGCTGGTGATGCCCCCCACACCTTGAGCAGGTGGAACAAAAGAAGGTACAGAACAGAAAAGATATGTGAGGGCAAGAAAGGGCAGGATGGAGCATGTGAAACGCACCATGCTCGGCAGAGTGCGGTCATCTCGTGAGTGGCAGCTGGTGACGTGCCCCACACCTTGAGAAGCCTGCTCTCACACACACAGCGCACAGTGAGCATGCGGGGGATGGGAGGGAGAGGAGAGCACGTGTCCAGCTGGAGAGTGAGGATTGGGCAGGTTGCTGTACAAGCTTCAAGTAGTAATAAATATATATACATATGTATAAGAATGTATAACAACGGTGGAGGGACGAGGGGAACACGAGGCGGGATCCCAATCTATGCACATACCACATGCACCCCATGCATGCATGCATGTCCCCCCACCCCCACCTGCTAGCATACGCCATGTACTCATGACGCCCCTTCTTCAGCAACGTGCCAAGCCCGTTGCGTATTAAGAAAGTCCGCAGCTTGTACGGTAGAAATTTCATCTTCAGCATCACATGCGGCACCTGCTCATTCTCCCCTCCTTCCACAGTAGCACTAGAAACACCGTCATCACCAGCAGCAGCAGCATCAGCAACAGCATCACCCGTTGCTGCTGGTAGCTGCTTCCCCGTGCACTTGTCCACCTCCACAATGGCAGCTTCCAGAAAGAATCCTCGGTACAGCGGCCACAGACTAGGGTCCTTGCTGGAGGAGGAAAGGGAATAAACAGGCATGGTAGGTGTGATGGTCGCGGGTGAGTGTGGCGGGTGTGAGAGTCGAGAAGGGGGCGAGGGCAGGCGGGAGGGTGAGGGTGAGAGTGAGAGTGCGGAAGCGGGTGGGGAATGATAGGGAATGTAAGAGAAGAGGATGGTAAAGAAGATGGGTTGGAGTACATGGCTAGCCAAGAAATAGACTCTTTAAGAGCTTCAGGTGTAGGGTGAACGGTTTCAGCTTCAAGGCCGTCAACCATCAGACCAATCATTGCATTTGACCACATCGCACCGCATCACACTGCATCTCACCGCATCAGTTGCTGGTATCTGCGGAAGGCCGCGTCTTGGAATGCATGCACGGTGATGAGATGGTGAGAGAGGGGCGCTGAGGAGGAAGACGAGGAGGAAGCAGAAGAGGAGGATGAGGTGGTGGTGGTGGTGGAGGTGGAGGAGGTGGAGGGGGAGGGGGCAGGGGCGAGGAGAGAGGGCGAGGAGGGGAGGGGCCAGGGGTGTGACTTGAACCGCACTTTGAGCTTCTCAGCTTTCACCACTCGCAGCATGGCCTGGGAGAGCGTGGCAGGGGGAGAAACGGAGTCGTAAGGGTTGGAACTTGGGCGCAAGGGGGAGTGGAAATGGAAGGGCCAGAGGAAAACAATGTGACGAAGGCACTACCACTACCCTTCGAGCCTGTCCTTGAGGCGCCTGGAAAACAGACTACTACCCTGCAAGCCTAACCGTGTGCCTGAACAGTCACAAACCTGCAGCTTGCTCGTCTCTGCATCTGCTGCACTGCAGCTGAGCAGCGAGTTGAGCCAGTCAGTCACATGCCGCTCCTCCTCCTCCTCCTCCTCCCTCCGCCTCTGCTTGGCCTTCCCTGCACTCTCACCCTCCTCCCCGTCCACCACTGTGCCTCCTTCCTCCTCCTCTCCTCCACTCCCATACCCCCCTGCCACGCCCTCTCCCCACTGCCCGCTGCTGCACATGGCGTTTCCTGCCTCCTCCACCAGATGGGCAATGCGCTGGGGGATGGGAGAGAGGAAGGGGGTAAAGAGAGGGATAGAAGAGGGGCGGGGGAGGAAAGACAGATGAGGCAGCAGAGAGATGAGGAATAGTGGGAGGAAGCAGAGAAAGGCCTTGGGGGCATACTGCAAGAGGGGCATACATACTGCAAGAGGGGCATACATACTGCAAGAGGGGCAAGTGACACAATGCAGTAAGTGTTGCCTTTGAACTGGGGCAACCGCATTCTTAGCACTGCATCTCCTTTGATCTCCTCCCCAGCCTCACCCCCTGCATCGACCCACCCTCACTGACCTCGCACATGGAGTCGTGTTGAGTAAAGAGCTCCCTTAATCTCGTGCCTGCTCCCACGGGATAGCTGGGCGCCGAGCCTGATGCAGAAGGGACGCGAAGAAAGGAACAAGAGAGGAAGGTCAATATTTGAGGCGCCGAAATACTCTCTCAGTCTCGCGCCTGCTCCCACGGGATAGCTGGGCGCCGAGCCTGATGCAGAGGAGCGCACAGAAGGGCGAGGGCGGCAAGAAAAAACAATCAGAAGAGGAGGGAGAAGTTGACTTGATGTGAAGAAGGGCGATGCTGATTGCTGCAGGCTCCTGGGGCTCACTGGCCCTATCCCAACCGAGCGTGTTTGCAAAAAAAAAAAAAAAAAACGGCGCAGGAGAATCTGCAGCTCCAGGCGCAGGAGAATCTGCAGCTCCAGACGCAGGAGAATCTGCAGCTCCAGACGGAGGAGAATCTTCAGCTCCAGACGCAGGAGAACCGTGCAAGCACCATGTCTAAAGAGAGAACCACCTCACCACCACTTACCCGCCAGCAGCCCCGCCTTGAGCTCCCTGACTTGATGCAGGCTCGTCGGGCTCACCAGCCTCGCCACCAGCCCCTCCATGATGTTTCCTTGAAGGTTCCCATGTGATGCTGTGCCTGAGGTGAGGCAAAGGGGGGCGCGGCAACGTGGTCAGGTAAGAGAAAGGGGGCAAGAAGACAAACTATTTTGCTATCTTCAAGGGAAGGGGGAAAGGCGTTCCAGCAAGGAACGAGGAAGGTGCCTCAGAAAGAGGGTGTGCGTGAGTCTGCGAGCAGCAGGCTGCCTTGCAGCGTGAGTGAGGGCTCAACCAAGTGGCCTGTGCCCTCCTCACTCACCGCTTGAAGTGAGACAAAGGCAAGGCAGAGCATGGGCATAGTGCCTGCCTGTATGCGAGCGATAAGCTGACCTGCAATGGTGACGTCCGTGATGCGAGTGAGCGTGTCCTCCACAGAGCGGGCACTAGGCAGTGCCCTCCGCACTCAGGGATGGAAGGCAGACCCAGGCAAGGCAGCGCATGGGCATAGTGCCCGCCTGTATGCGAGCGATAAACTCACCTGCAATGGTGACGTCCGCGATGCGAGTGAGTGTGTCCTCCACAGAACGCGCCGTACCCTCCTCACTCAGCGCTGCGTATGCTGCAAACAGCTGTGAGCATGATTGGCTGGTGGCAGGGGAGGGGGCGCGGGGGAGAAGGGGGACGCATGCGTGACGAAGGCACACTTTGGAGCGGAAGAGGACATGGGAGGGGGAGAGGCGAGAAGCAACAAGGGAGAAGAGCGAAGAGAGAAGAGAGAAGGGGGGAAAGTGAAGGGAGGAGAGCGAAAGGGAGAAGAGAGATGAGAGAAAACAAAAAGAGGAGGGAGAGGGCGTACGTGGAGTGGAAGAGAGGGCGTACGTGGAGTGGAAGAGAGGGCGTACGCGGAGTGGAAGAGAGGGCGTACGTGGAGTGGAAGAGAGGGCGTACGCGGAGTGGAAGAGAGGGCGTACGCGGAGTGGAAGAGAGGGCGTACGCGGAGTGTAAGAGGCAGTGGGAGAAGGGGGGGGTATGGTATGGCAAGGAGAAGAGAGAAGGGCGTACGTGGAGTGGAAGAGCCAGTAGGAGTTGAAGGGCAGGCGCCAGGTGTGACAGAAGCGCAGCACCTCCGGTGTGGAGAGAAAGCGAGGAGGGTGGCTTGCCATGTCCGTGACAGCTGTCACCACCACTGGGAGGGAGGGGTGCATGGGTGCGATGCGAGCATGGGGGGGGAGGGAGGGAGAAACAGATTGCAAGAGAAGGGAGGGACGAAGTTGAAAGGCAGGCAAGAGGTGTGAGAGACAGGCGGCAGCATGCAAGGCCCAGTAGTAGTCGTGGAGGCAAGCGCCCCCCACAATGGCCAAGTCATGGTCAACCACTGCTCTCACCATAATCTTGCAGTGGTCTCTGCCCATGGTCTCCCAGCACCGATGTGACCAGCTCCATGCCCACCGCCATGCGGTGCCTCTGGTGTGTGTGCGTGTGTGCATGCAGTTTTGAGACGTGTCAAAAGCACTCTCACCATAATCCTGCAGCGGTCTCTGCCCGTGATCCCCCAGCACTGATGTGACCAGCTCCATGCCCACCGCCATGCGGTGCCTCTGGGGTGTGTGTGTGTGTGTGTGTGTGTGTGTGTGTGTGTGTGTGTGTGCATAAGGGAGGGAGGGGAAAACAAATGAGGGGTTGTTGGTGGATAGTCTTGCAGCTGTCTCTGCCGATTATCTCCAAGCTCCACGCCCACCGCCATGCAATGGCGCTGCCGTGTGTGTGTGTGTGTGTGTGTGCACAAGGGAGGGAGGGGAAGCGAGAGAAGGGTTGTTGTTGCAGGATTGCTCATATTTTAGTCCTCAAAACCAGCTATTTGACCTTCCATGCACACGGATTCGTGAATCTGTGTGTGCCACACACAAACGTGCAGAGACACAGACACAGACACACGCACGCACATGCACACGCACACATGCACACGCACGCATGCACAAGCACACATGCACACGCACATATGCACACGCCCACATGCACACGCACACATGCACACGCACACAAGAACACACACAGATGCACGCATACACACATGCACATGCACACATGCACACATGCACACATACACACATGCACACATGCACACATGCACATGCACACATGCACATGCACACATGCACACATGCACACATGCACATGCACACATGCACATGCACACATGCACATGCACACATGCACATGCACACATGCACACATGCACATGCACACATGCACACATGCACATGCACACACACACAAATGCAGCAGCGGTGGTTCACCGCACTGCCACCGCCACAGCGTCAGTGAAGGTACCGACTGACTTACCTCCAGATAATCGCTCAGCTCTCTCTGCTTCTGCCGCACTAGCCCCTCCCCCCATGCATTGCGCAGCGTCTCTCCCAGCACCCACACGCCCACCGCCGAGTACCTGTGGTGTGTACGGGCGAGAGACAGCAAGGCATGGCAGTCAATGGGGTTTTGGAATATTGTGTGGTATGGTGTGTCATTTCCAATCACTCTCTCCCAGCACCCACACGCCCACCGCCGAGTACATGTGGATATGAGGGAAGGCAGGACGGACAGGCATGGCAGCTCGTGGGGCAATACGATGTGGTATGGGCACAGTGGGCGTGTGGGTGCTGGGTGCTGCCGCACTAGCTCCTCCCCCCACGCATTGCGCAGCGTCTCTCCCAGCACCCACACGCCCACCGCCGAGTACCTGAGAATATGCGTGAAGGAGGAGGGACAGGCATGGCATCCAATGGGGCAAAACGATGTGGTATGGTGTGGACGCTTCCAAAAACTCCTTCTTGATTGTAAGACACATCAAGACACGTCACTCACTCATTGCCGTAAGAGTTCTTAGCATACGCGCCTCTCCTCGCCCCCGCCCACAGAAAGAGAGAACCGCTGTGCTTCACTGATACCTGCCCGAGAACGGGGTTTTAAAAGGGGTTCAAGTTTCAAAAGGAGAATGGTGAGGGGGATGAGGGGCGGAGAGAGAAGGAAGAGGGAGGAGGTTGAGCATAATACAAGCAACGAGTCAGATTGATACGGACTTGGCTGTTCAGGAATGTGCTGGATGGCACAGGATCGAAGCAAGTCTCTTCCTCCAGCAATGAATGAGTTTGTTGTCAGCATCAATGGTGCAGATGAATTTGACAGCATCAACGGTGCAGATTGACGCAGAGCGCTCACCTCGAGAACGCCAACGCCATTGCGGACAAGCCGCTCCATCTCCCCGCGGACCTGGCGCAACGGGAAGGGCGGACGAGGTAAGAGCGGAAACGGATTGGGGCGGAACGGAAAGGGGAAACAGGACGGGCGGCATGGGAATGGCGCATCCAATTCAGCGCCATGATGACTCATTAGCTGTCCGCGCAACAGAGCACGCGTCGGTTGCCCGCTTCCTCACCACTCTCTCCCCCTTCCACCTCTCTATGAGGTGCCAGCCTCAAGAGCCTCACGGATTCAACTCCCCATCCGCGGATTCGTTCTCGAACTTGGGGTAAAACGACATTTGAGATTCCTCAGCAGTCACCTCTGTGTGAGTCCCTATCTGCAAGTCTAATTCACCTCGCCATCCGCGGATTCGTTCTCGAACTTGGGGTAAAACGCCGCCACTATGTGTGCCACTGCCACCTTGCGCGACTTCGACCCCGCGCTGCTAGAGCTGCTCGCGATGCTTGTGCTTCCGCGCACTCTGCCTTCCCCCGCCTCCGCCTCCGTTAAGCCGCTGTCGCCATCACCCGCTTCTCCTCGTCCACGCGGCGATTCGCTCCTGCGGGATTCTCTGTGCTTGCTCTTGCGCGAGCCTCGTCCCTTGCTAGGCATGCTGCACGTCGGACGTAACGAAATCGGACGAAAAGCGAGCGGGTTTGCTGCTGGATCGCAATCCTGCACTACCGCTACTGTCAGTGGCGCTGCTGCTGCTAAATTTAGCGTGCTTCGACTGGTGGCGAGTCTGGGTCTAAATGCGGGACGGATAGTCGCTGTGATCCGAGCGAGCACGCGCATTGAAATGAAGGTTCCGCACGCATGAGTGAGGTCTGGGGTTGAAAGGAAAGGCGGCTTGCTTCATCCAGACGCAACGCGAGTCTCTGGTCATCAGATCATGTGGGCTCGATCACGCCACAAAGCATTCTTCGCCACAAATGTATTTTAGCTGGTCCACACGATATGGTGTTGAATCTATCTGAATATTACAGAATATATGTTTCTTGAGAGCACTCAGTGTTCGAGACTGTTTGTGGCCAGAACCGAGAACATATGTAGGTTCACTCTATGGAAAGTATCTATATCGGAGGTTCAGTGGTGGTGGTTGTGGTTTCCGTGGCGCTTGCCGTTACAGTACCAGGCCTGTCGATTCACGGGCATTCGCCCGTTTTCCCTGAGAATTCAGGGTTCGTTTCAACTCAGCTCAGAGATTTTCAGGTCTGGTTTTTTCCTGGCCCGTATTCCTAACGGACGGGTTTGTAGCCTCCCCCGGATTTCCCGTGTACCTGCTCTCCCCTCCCCCCCCCCATTCCACCCCTTCTTGCAGACCTTCGACCGTGCACGTGTCCCACTACTCTTCCTCCCAAACCTCTCTACCCAACCGCACCAGCGTGCTCTGATCGGTAGAGTAAGTTTTCCTAGAGTTACTTAGCTTCCTGGCGCATGTGGCTCAGGGCAGGAATCCAAATGGCCTGAATTTAAGGGCTAGATTTGACTGCTGTCCGGATGCTTCAGGGCTTGTTTCGGGCCAGCTCAGCTTCGTAAGGTTTAGGCCCAGACCAAGCGACAGCCCTGTACAGTACTTTAGGGCGACGAATTTCAGCACAAAGCCGCCTTGCTGCCCCCAAGTGGCACCTAGTCGCACCTAACGTCAAGCCCAAGGCAGTTCCGGCAATCCCGCAGCGGTTTTGACAACATCCAAGTCCCACGTGGCTGCAGTTCGGCATTCAATCAGCACCATGGCAGTCAGCTTCGGCAAAAGCCAAAACCAAGTGGTTTCCCTCTCCCACGGCCCCAACCACCTCCCTCCCCGACCTGCGAATTGTCGTCCCGGCTTTTCATTGTGGCTTGCCAGGCTTGTTCCCGCCAGACGTACTCGTGGTTCGGCTCGGCTCCCGCTTCTTTCGAGCCGAGCCTCGACATTTCTTCCACCAACTTCGATGTCCATGGTTCATTCAAAGCAGCCCAATCCCCTGGCAACTCATTCAGTTGATCCATGTAAGAAGCGATTCCTGGATCGCCTTATTTTCTGCGTTCTTAGGCTGTTGCTCCCTCCTCCCAGGTGCGTTTTTTGAGGCGTTGGGGTTCTCTTGCAGTAACTCAGCAGGGAACGTTTCGAGCGTTAGGCATGGCTCGCTCATTCCACCGATTCAGCCTCTTTCTCGTTGTTAGCCTAGTCCTAATTCGCTCGAAGGTATGTCACGCGCAACCAGATCAAGACTATCCTGATCCCGCGGGGGACACCACGTTGCCGGAGGACATGGGCGTCCCTCCGGATGAGGCCGTCGATCAATACGCGGACCCGAATGCGTTTAACGAAGGCGAAACTGCTCCCACCGATGCAGTTCCAGGCGAAGATGCCATTCCCGGGGAAAATGCGCCAGATCCGTTCCTTCCCCCGGAAGACGCCTACCTGCCCGACGATACTACTCCCGCAGACGAGCAACAGCCTGCGGACGAACCGGCTCCAGGGGACATCCCAACTGAAACCACCACAGCCCCGGAGGACATTCCCAGTGATACCACCACAGCCCCGGAGGATATTCCCAGTGATACCACCACAGCCCCGGAGGACATTCCCACTGATACCGCTCCCGTTGAGGACGCAGCCCAGCCGACGGGCACCGCGTCTGCTGCGTTTGCTCCTGACACGACCGACGCTAATTTCGATCCTGACGCCGCCACTCCCGTCGACGCGACGGTTCCAACAGAATCTGCTACCGTGGCTGTTGATGATACGGTTACTGCGGGTAAAGGCACGATGTACGACTTCCAAGGCGCGTACGAGAAGATGAAGGGCGGCGATCTCTCCACAGAGGCCATTATTGGCATCGTCGCTGGTGAGTCCTTATATATATTGCGCACAGACTTTCTATTGCGGAGAAACCAATTTATGTATGTGGTCCCGTGCCGTCTTGAATGCGAAATTTATCGCATTTCAAGGGTCGAAACCACGCACTTTTTCTGTCTGAAACGAAGTTCTTTTTCCATTATAATTGGACGGCATCTAAGATCCAAGTCTATTTCTTTCGCGTTGACACCAAAAATACGCGCGACTTAATTGGATCGATCTCACCCTGACCGAGTCTCTATCTCATATGGTCTGGTCTGGAATGGCGCTCAATAAATGCTTATGTCGCGTGTATACTGGACTACTAATCACGTCTAGACCGGTTTCAGACGTCCCCTTCACTAGTCTTGAGGACCGTTCGAAACTTGTAATGCGAAGGTCCCGTGTGGCGTCAAGTTTAAGCGTAGAAGCTCCACTTTGCGTAACCTTCCAGCAGCTGATCTCTGCTCATGGAAACGCGGATGTCACGTGTATTAGTCCTTTTTCTCCCACCATTCTCCTCTGCTTAAAGTTCTGAACACTTAAACCGGATTGTAAGCCCTGCGCTTCAATACCTCGTTTCCACATATTCTTCCCCCAACCCTTGGGCACCAATCTCCTTTCCCCGCGTGCTGGTACCCCTTAGGTATCCAACTTCTTGTCCATCACATTCTGATCCCCCATTATCTTCGTACCCCCTCCTCAGAGCCCACGCCTTTTTGTCCCTGTCAACAACCCAATGATTCCTTATCGGTTCATGCAATGCAAAGTTGCTCACCCCCTACAGCTTTCGACTTTCTGGGTGTGGAAAAAGACTGACTTATAGCTGAAGCTGCGTGTTGAGCTGGTGAATGATTCCTTGTAACTCATCATCATCTCGTTTATCATGCATTACCACTGCTGGCTGTGCAGGGGTCTGTGGTGGCATGGTCCTCGTCATGTGCTGCGCGTGCATCTGCTGGATCCGTCAACGCAACATCTGGCGAGCCAAATACGGAGAGTAAGCGAATGCTGTCGCTTTCTTTTCTCTCTGGACAATCCACAATGGTCATGTCTTGTCCTGCTGTGTGCGATCTGAATTCCACTTTATCTTGAATTGTGTCCTGCCTGGCCCAACCACTGAAAATGCCTCCTTTTCTGTCCTTCCTCCCTTGTCCCTAATGTTGAGCAGTGGCAATGCAGGAGCAATTGAGATGTAGGGTCCAGAATGGTTACCTGTATAGACAGTTATCAGAGGCACAAGAAAACCAGTACTGATACCGTATTTATCAGGGGCTAAGTTTTGCATGACAGCCACTGTAGGTTTGTTTGATAATGAAAACACCTGTTTGATGTCAGTGCGCCAATCAGCAATTCTTAATCTAAAGCGAAGGAGGTGTGAAACTGAATATGCAAAGAGCAAATTACGGGTAAAGAATATTTGATTAATAAAGATTAAGGTAAAAGCTGTAGCCTTATTCTTGTACTTCAGCCCAGATATCTCTCAGTACCACTGCTGCACCCGATATTGTCATTTTGGTAGCACACACCAGATCAACTCGGACGGATTCTGTCCGACCTCCGTCTGACTCTGAACGGGCGATTCACAGCTACCTGATGCTATCTGGCCTAGGTCTATTCTTAGACGCCAATCACTTACGGTAGTGTGGGCCTGGGCATCAGCGGGCTTCCTTATCTTCCATTCCCGTTACCGTCCCCTCTCTCCCCCCTCGATTTCTCCCATCGTGACGGTGGCGGTCAGCGGCTGCTAGCGAGCGACGGAGGTAGCGGGTGTGACGGTGGCATTGGGCTTCTGTGACGAACGCGACAACGGTGAGTCACGACGGTCACGATGGCTGTTGGCTGTTAGTTACAGACGCGACGGGTGGCGATCGGTGGCGTACATCGGCTTCCCTCCCTCCCGTCCCTCATTTGCCCCTCGCACGTCTTCCACTCCCACTCCCGCCGTCCCTACCCTTATCTTCTTCCCCCCGTTTCCGGGATGTCCGGCGCAGGAGACGCTGCAATGGTCTCGGCGGAGTAATCTTGTCCGGTTTCAGATCTACCGGATAAATCAGCTGAGATCAGACTTTCGCCGATTCTTGCAATCGCATCAACTCAACATGGCTCTGACGTCATCATGTCGGATCCTGGTCGTTGCGGTGCTGATTGCGTGTATGGCGTCGTCAGCATGGGCCATGTATTGCGGCGACGATGACTGCTACGACCTTCTCGGGTATAGCCAACCGCACTGTGTACAGTCACACCTGACTAGGGCAAGTCACGCTCGGTGTCGTTCTCTCCGCATTCGACGCCGTCCAATCCGCAATCAGTGCCGTTCTGTATTCCACATGTGGTGCTCCTCGTGTCATTCACAGCCATGTTCATTCCACTTGTCCAGTGACCACATCAGATTCGTGCTGAGATCAGCAATTCGCTGCGGTATTCTCTGTCGTGTGAAGCATGGAATAGTCGATCTCTTCCACATTCTCAGACGTGTCCGTCCATCTGAAACCTAACATTGTTGTTTTCTGAAATTGCCTATTCAATTCCCTATCTCTGCTGTGCCGTGTAATCATGTAACTGTATCAGGGTCAAGCAGACAGCGACACAGCAGGAGATTAAGAAGGCCTACTACAAACTGTCCCTCAAATAGTAAGCCCCTCGCTCCATGATCTCATCCTCATGCGCTGACTTCAGACTACCAACGTCCACCACCCCTTGTCACCCATCACCGTTCCTTACCATTCCTCGTCATTCCTCACCACCTCAGGCCACCCATCACCACCCCTCACCGCTCTGCACCCGTCTCCACTCTCTGCATCCCATTGCAGCCATCCAGACAAGAACCCAGAGCCCGACGCGCAAGCCATATTCGCCAAGATTGCCAACGCATATGAGGTACGCCTCTGAGAAATTTCGTAGTAAATAAGTCATTCGTGAGGCTGAATATATGTACATTAAATAAGGTTCTTTAGACACTGACGAACTGTGTATGAGGAACGCCCACTTGATGCACCTCGAAGTGGCATATAAGGGTTGCCACCTACCGCGCTGCATGCCACTCTCCGATTTGACTTCAGATTAAGGTTTGGATTTTACCGTTTGCCATTGTCCACTCATACTTTTCTCTGCAGCACCTCGCTTTCGACCCCTGACACCATAGGGTACTCATCCTCATGCCTATATGTCTAAATTTAGTAGAAGTCAACCTTCTACTTTCTCTTTCTCTCCTCCTCAATTATCCACCCGTCCCTCCAGATTTTGTATGATGCGGAGAAGAGAGAGCAGTATGACTATGCCATCGCCCATCCAGAGCAGGTGGGCTGCAATGCCTGACATGGCATGGTATGGCACGGCATGGCATGGCGGAGCATGGCACAGCATGGCAAAGCATGGTATGGCATTGCATTGCATGACATTTGCCATTAAGTGTTTCTTTGGAAGTAGGGATAGCAGTTGACGTTCATGCATGTGGCACATTCATGCTTTGCATCAGCCATTAGCAATTAGCCATGAGCCATCAGCCAACAGCCATCAGCCATTGCACCACCTCGTTGCCGACATGAAGACACACCGTATAGCCCGCCCATCAGTGCAAGCAACCCTTCATATTCCACTTCGCCCTCTTCTTCTCCCCTCCCTCCTCCCCCGTCCCTCCCTCCTTCCACTTATTACCTCCCTATGCAGTTCTTCTACAACACTGCTCGCTACTACCAAACTTATTATGCTCCTAAGACGGTGAGGCTTTTGTTGCTCCTGATCTCGACAGAGCTAGTTGGCCCTCTCGTCATGGCAGCTATCCTGTGTTCACTGTTCTTTTTACGTGATAACTTTTGGAACTGCGTTCTGTCGCCCTCATGCATTGTACCATTACGGTGTGCTGCCTGTATGCTGCTGTCATTGATGACAGGACATTCGAGTCATCCTGCTTGCAGCGCTGTTGCTGCTTTCGTCCTTCCAGTACCTCAACGATCACATTCGATACAACCAGGTGAGCCCCAACCAGTGTCATTGAGTACCAATAGGTGAGGCTCTAGGGCGTCCCCTAAACTCCGCCCCTTGAACAAGCAGGCGAATTGATTGCTTTCCCATTGATGGGTTAGAATCTTCTGCCAAGTGACATATGACAGATTGTTGTTGTTCCTCCTCTTCCCTTTCACGTTGTTCATGCCCCATGCTGCCCTGCCACTTCCTCTCCATCCCTCACAGGCCATAGAGCACGCCAAGCAGACCCCGGCCTATCGCAATCGCCTGAAGCAACTGGAGCTGGAAAGGGCTGCAGCTGCTGCTGCTGCCACCAGTACCACTGGTGGAGGCAGAGGGAAGCGCGGAGGGGGCCGGCGTGGAGGAAGGTAGACAGTGGGAAAGAGGCACACTTCACACATTTTGGCACTTGTTTGTGTACTTAAACACATGGGTTTCTGGCTCGATTCGATTGAAATGGCACCTGTGGGAGTTTGTTGCACACAATGTTTTGGGGCTTGTGTTCTGATGGTTGCTCCTGCCTAACCACCTGCACACCCTTTCCTGGGCCAAATCTGTGGATGCTAGCAGAGCAGCTGACGCCCAACAAGCTGGAGCAGCTGCTGCTGCACCCCCAGAGAATGAAGTGGCAGAGCTCGAGCTTCAGGTAAAGCAAACACATCAAACGATGCATATTATTGGTGCCTTGTTTTCTTCATATATTCTTTGTGATTCTGTCCGACGCAGGTGCATGGAGCTGACAAGCCGTGTCTGTGGCGGCTTTTTGGTGTTCAAGTTGTCATCTTCCCGTATGTTACTGCCAAGGTAAAGCATTGTTTACGCAGTGCTGTAGTTTGCAGTCCCTTTGTGGGCCATGCTCGTTCTGTTGACTGCGTCTTGCACGAGACATATTGAAGTCCGTGCATTGCAATGGATGTGTAGTTGATATGGTGGCAGGTGCAGTGGTTCCATCGCTACACCATGCGCCGTGCGCCTCTGGGATGGAACGATGCTTGCTACCTCACACGCACCACTCTGCGTATTCCTGCAGCTCACTGGAGCTCCATGGGTAAGGCCAGTTGGAACCATGGGAGCCTGATGGCACCTGCTTTTTCTTCTTCGTCGTCATCTGTTTTTTCTCTTTTTTTTTCATCCATCTCTTACCGTATTTCCTAGTGGAGTGTTGTATGCCCACGTTGTACGTTGCCTTGCAGGGGAGACTGCCCAAGAAAGGCTTGTGGAACGGAGGCTCTGGATCAAGCAAAACCTGAATGATTATCGAGAGGAGCTTTCCAAGTCCGTGAGACGTAGACGCTAATGATCTCTGCTTTGCAGCAGAAGGTGCTGAGCAGGGCTTTTTCTTGGCAATGATACTTGAACTCAGTTGTGGAAGATGTTGGAAGTTTTCCCTGCTCTTGTTACCTTGTACAATGAAGATGGTGTAATGAAGTCTTATGCAGAATACCGTATTCCCCCGGACATACCACCCCCCGAAATAGAGCACCCCCCGGGTGGCTTGTGCGGGGGGGGTGCTATAGCGGGCCTCGTTTCTACTATACCCCCCCTTTTGGGGGCATCCTATATAGCACCCGGGGGGGGGGGGGGTGGTTATGTACGGGTATAATTGCAGTTTTTGCCTAAGTAGCACAGGGTTTCCAATGATAATCCATCTACAAGTTAACATTAGCAGAAACCGAGGCTGTTGCGGGGACTCCGCCATTGTCACCTGCATGAATCCTCGTCGTGCGACGAGGGGGTGTGATTTCGTCCAATCAGGGCCTGACAGTGGGCCTTGTTGGAGCTTGCAATGTGGCAGCTAACCCTCGCGCAAAACGTTATCGCCCAGTCCTCGGTTTTGCGCACCCAACCAGCAATCTACCACCACCGCACAGATGTACATTGTGTACTAAACGTTTTACGCTATAAAAAAAAATACATTATGTAAAGACCCGGGTGCAATGTAGCTTTTTCCGATGACAAGACCCCCCCTTTTTTTTGTGTAGTTATCATAGCACCCTAGGGTGGTATATCCGGGGGAATACGGTAACTGTCTCCTGTGCAAATCAGGAGATGTGGATGCTAATGGCCGCCGGATTGCAGCAGAGTGTGCTGCTGAGTAGGGCTCTTTCTTGGCATTGATGCTTGAGCTCAATTCTGGAGGAGGTTAGAAGTCATTCATCCCTGCTTTTGTGACCTTGTACAATGAAGATTGTGTAATAAATGCCACATACAGAATAGCTGTGGCCTGTACAAATCAAGACTGCACACTATGAAGGACCAATCAATCTCCTCCGTTTAGCTGCGCCTTGCATACTGCACAATCCACACACCATTAGTAGTAAAGACACAGCTAGCTTGCAATCAGGTAAAAGTCATTACCGTAATTGGCTGGCCGTACCTGTTCATTTCAATAAAAACATTCAACGCAACAGTCTCCCTTGTGCTTGCCTCCAAGTCAGAGTCATTCTGCAGCAAATCAAGAACACCAGAATTAGCCCCCTGACAATGCATATACAGTTTGCAATTGCTGCATCGAGGGTAGTGCTCACCCGTTTCATGGATGCCGGCATGGCCTTTTTAGATGGTGAGCTGACTAGTGGTGGATCGCGAGTCCGTGCACCTGCCGTAAAAAGGTTCGCCATACGTGAGACAAAGAACTCTGGAATTGCGACAGATTTGTGGAAATACTTACGGGGACCGAGAGTGGTGAATCCTGGAGGGCCAAACCCAGGAGGGCTGATCGCAGGGCTATCATCTTGTATTCTAACGCTCTCTCCGGGAACAGCCTGCACGAGGCTTGATGGCTCAACTACAGGTTTGACCTCCCACATCAGAAACGGTCTGGGAGATGGTGCAGCAGCTGTAGGCGGCACAGAAGCTTGTGGAGACGGACCACTGGACAAGTCACAGGGAGGGAGCATTTGTGGTGGGTGCTGTGGTAGAATAACTGGAGAGGCTGATGATACAGGCAACGTGAATCCTGGAGGAAGTGAAATGCTTGGAGGGGCGAGAACGGAATCCATTCCATGCTGCAAAATAAGAAGCCGTCGACGCCGCTCCAACTCTAAATCTGTTGCTTCCTCTTTTGTTTCAGAAGGGAAATTTTCTCTGTCTGAAAGCTCCCCTTCCTCCACCTCCTCGGACTCAGGTTCTGCTGGAACTTCACCTGCGTTACCATCTCTTGCAGTACCTGGCAAGACATCTGCAGCCGGTAACTGGTTGGACTGTGCATTTCGTGGCTCAGTTGGTGCAACTGCTTCTGGTTGCCACACAGGCAAGTCCTCTGGATCATCATCAGGCCCTGGTGGCTGAAAGACAACACATAATGCAGAAGTTATACTCTGTGAAAGTGTAGCGAAAATAGCAAGCTACGTTCAATAGTTGCAACAAATGGCTGGATACCTGAGCAGCTGCTGATGGGACCAGACTGCCTTGTGCACTCTCTTGATGAGGACCCCCAAAACGTGGAGCACCTCTGTCAGGCACATCCAATTGTGCACCTGGTTGAGCGAGTGGCTTCTCCCCAGGATACTGAAAAACCCACTGTTGTTGCTCCTTGGACTCCAATGCGCCCTGCCAAGCGGATCCGCATGTCAGGCTTGACAAGTAGCAGCGGAACTAGACAGCTGTAAGGCTAGAACTCACATACGTTGTCCACTGGAGCACCTTTCACAAATATTGCCGTGTCAGGAACTGGTGGGAGCTGATGCAACTCAGCATCGTGTGACATGCTTGCCAACCCTTGGCTCAAATAGTCATCGACTGCCCTGCACAACCCTTGCTCATATGTTACACAAACAGCAAGTGGTGGACCTCGTTGAACAAATTGATGAGATGGACAATAAGATGGACCATGAAACTGTCAGTTAGCGTACCTGTAAAAGTCGGTTCGAACATAGCAGATCACGTTCCTTGCATGGACCAAGACAGGAACAGCCAAATCAACCTGAAAACAATTCAAATAAAGTGAGGAGGATGATAAGGCAGCCGGTTTGACTAATATGGCTAAACCAACACAGTCCAGCTAATTCACAGACCTCAGCCAGGGGTGCTGCATACGGAGCGAATGGCTGAACAAGGTGGACACGTGGCTGGTCCCTTTCTTCCCAGACATTCATTCTGTCATCAATGATGACTGCCATTCTTGGATCACAATCGCTTCTGTGGAACACCTTCTGTAGTGATTTGAATGTGCCTGCAATTAGAGCCCGTCAATCAACGGAACGTTGAAGATGATATACCATATACGAATGAGGCTTCATTGAATATGAAGGAAAAGCAGTATGTGAAGAAGAGCCTACCCGCTTTTACTGAGATGATACGGGCTGACAGCTCCTTCGGTTGGATAAGCTTTCCTTCAGGATCAAGCAGCCTCCACATTTCCAAAGCATACTGCTTCTCTGCCATCGTGCACACGAAGGCCTCAAACCGCTTCCTTCCCTTGGTGGAAAAATAATTGCGCAAATCTTCCCAAGATGGCCGCATTCTGACAAGCACGCTAGTGTCCCGATTCTGCACAGACACACCATACTAAATCAAGCTTCCGCTCAGAGTACAACAGAGTCCAAAGCATGAAGTGTGCGAAAAGAATACAATTTTACCTCTGGAAAGATTCGGGTTAGGACAATGTTTTGGTGTGGGAGCCTGAGGACAGGCCGAGAGGCAGGAAGAGATTGCCCCTCCACGGGTGTCACGGCTTCAGGCTGAGCCACGTAACACTTCCCGTCAAGCATGACAGCGTTGGTATCGTAGTACTGAAGGAGGATCTGCCTGTCCTCCTCGTAGCGACCCAGCTCAGCTGCCAAAAGCTTAGCCAGTTGCGGATCACTGTTCGCAGCTAGCCGTTGCCTCAGCACACCGATCTTGTCTTCAAATGACTTCATTGTATTGGCGACAAATAGGGTTTCATCGAGGTCGAAGACCACAGCAAGGCAGCGGAGGTTCAGCATCTTCAAGCAGGCCGAGTACTGGCCTTCCTTCACGAAGAATCCCCAGAAACATGGTCTGTGGTTCTTGCGATGCTCCTGACGATTGCCTAACATAGCAACCAAGTGCACCTCGAATCCGCCTCCGATTGACACGACAGCAGTCTGCGAGATCAGAAACACAAGTTACTAATTTTGAATCCACTGTGTAGGTGGTGTCGTAAAATATTATAAATGTTACCGAGAGCATTACCTTAGAATCTGTCACACATGAGCTGTGGATCAAATCCAGCTCATGCCAACTCGCCTCACAACCTTCTTCGGGAGCTAACTTGAACCACATCCCGTCATCAGATATAGTATGCAGCACGACTTGCGGTTGTAGTCTTTCGCTGGACTCCGAAAAACCTCGAAATTCCATTCGCTGAGAAAATAGTTCTCGTAAAGCTTTGCCATTACGTGCTGGGGTGAGTGAAACTTTGGCAACCAACCTGCCTGCGCTCACAAGTCTCGATTTCATTGTTTGAGAAATTATTAGTGCGTTTTGCTGATATATATTTCTATGTTAGTTACCAATCCTTAGGGATCAGGTTCGCGATTCGGACAACCACTAGATGCTGAAGTTGTTGTGGGTGAAGTCAGTGAACAGCTTACGTCTCCAGCACTGAACTGGTGGCAATGGTGAGGACGCGGCACCTCTAGGGAGGAGCCACGATCGATCCTGGGTGGGGATCGATCCTGGCTTGTACAGTAAAATCGCGACTTCGCCAACACTCTGGTATCTGTTTTCGCCCTAACTCGTAAGTGTACAGTAAATTGGTGCCCAAAATGCTGGCACCTCTGGCTCGCACGATCGATGTGCCAGCGCCCACACATCGATCGTGAAATTGTGGAGATCGGGCAATTTTGCCCCAGGTATTTTCGATCCTGTCACCTGTGGCTCGGTTTGTCCAGGCGATTGCAATTTTGCAGTGTGGGCACATCGGTGTGCCGATCGATGTGCCTAAACCGATGTGAGGCCCCGATACCCCTCGATCCTGGCCATGTCCTTAGAGGTGCCGCGTCCTGAGGGAGACAGAACAGATTACGGTACTAGGATGCTGAGGCGAGGAGATAGCTTTCAGGACTGAGGTGGTTGAATTCGCCACAGCTATTGGCCAACAGGCTGCTGAGATAATACTTGCTATTGTGCTAAGCGTTTGTGTACAATACTGAAGGCCGGGTATTAGATGTTGTAAATAAATCCCACGGTTTTGTTATTAGTATCTAATATGTGGGGATTAAAATGCTCCATTTAACTATTAGTGGTTTTTTTTATCCATATATGTAACGGAAGACTAATGGCAGGTAAAGGAAGAAGAACATCCGTGGCCAAAGGCATAGTGTTCTGTAGTTGTACCCAAGTAATTTCTCAATTTCCGAACACTTCAGCTCCAAGCTCTTTAGTTGTCCATCTTTTCCGCATATCGAGTTACAGCTGGTGTGTGGGGGCTGGCACCTGTCATTGGCAGCCTCCCAACACAGATTTCTCCGCAGTTTTTGAGTTGACATTTGACATTGCTGATGAACATCCGCCATAGCAAGCTCACTATGGCAAGCAGATTCACCTCCAACATGACAAGCACATTCATCTCCACCATGACAAGCACCCACATTGGATCTGATGTTGACGTGCTGCAGAAATTCCTCTTGTTCGAGTCGCCAAGAATCAACTTGCCGTCGCTTTCGTGTACGGGGCAGAGACGTCACGTCATTTTCAATCACGGCCTCCTAAAGTGCTCTTGCGGTTTTTGTGGGTGAAGCATGAGTGCTTCGTTGCAGTTCATCGCGAGTCCGTTATTTCCCATAAGTGGTCGTCCAGCTGCTATATTCATTGTCGCACCATGAACACCCAGCTCTTCAGAGTTTCCGCAGCTGCCAGAGTGAAACCTACCTCTGCAGTACCTGGTCTTATCAGAGCTGCGACTGAGAGACAATCAGCCCTCGCGTTTAGCCGTTCGGAATTCTCTTATGCTTCTCGTCACATTCGCCTCGCAGCTGTCGCTCAGCCTCCCCAGTTTCGTTCGGGCAACCTTCTCTGGTGATACACTCAGTCTTTGCATTCTGGCCTTAGTTTTCAATTTCTCTCTGCTGGACGTTCCTTCTCGTGCCTGATATTCACGCTCATCATGCTCTCATTGTCCATGTCTCTTTGTGCAGCCGTAGCAGTATGAAGATGATGAAAGGCAAGCATGTAGTCATCACCGGCGGCTCCACTGGCATTGGCTTCGCCTGTGCCAAGCGGTTCCTGAGAGAGGTAGGAAAGATTTGGGATTTTGGATAGCAGGTGTCTGGCTTTTGACATCGAAGTGAACCTTGCCTGACGTGTTTTCCTGGATTCGCCAGGGAGCCTCGGTTACTTTGATGGCTCGGAATGCAGCCAAGCTGGAAGAGGCAGCGCGGGAGCTGCAGCAGTATACGAGAGAGTCTGCTCACAACGGAACCAATGGTTTTTTTCCTACTCCAAGAATCTTCACACAGGTGAGCCTGAAAGACTTATGGTTACTATTGCGAGCACCCATGCCTCACAGTGTCTATACTTCAGAAAACTACGCTGTGGCTCATCTGACTTATTGCGCAGGCAGTGGATGTCTCCGATGCCAAGGCGGTGCAGGCAGCCATAGATGGAGCAGCAGCTGCGTGCCCCATAGATGTGCTGCTGTGCAACGCTGGGGTGGTGCGCACAGGCCATGTGGAGGACATCTCCGCACTCCAGGCCCAGGAGCAGGTCAACACGAACCTGCTGGGAAGCATCTACCCTGTGCAGGCTGCAGTGCCGCTCTTGAAGGAGAGGGTTGCACAAGGAGCAGAGCCAGGTGCCATTGTCTTCATGTGTTCACTCTCTGCTCTGGTGGGTACACTTCGCTGCTCTTGAATCAGGATCCTGCTCACTTTTGATAGCATCACACTGAATCAGAATTTTTTCATTATGTTGCAGAGCTTTTGGTATGGTGCAGCAGTTTACACTGCTACCAAGTATGGGGTCCGTGGCTTTGCAGAAGGACTTCGTCTTGAGCTGCTCCCATATGACATATCGGTTTCCGTTGTCTGCCCAGGCTTCACTGACACTCATCTGCTTGACGACGGTAAGCAACTTACATCCCACTTCACTTTTAAATGGGGGTTTATATATATTCAAGTTCTCCTGACGTTTGCTCCCTCAACACTTTCTTCCAGCTGAAGCATCTGGTCAGTACCTTACCAAATTGATGGAGGTGGCATCAATGTACGACCGCAACAAGATTGAGAACCCTGACACTGTGGCAGAGAGAACACTGGCAGCTGTTCGATCAGGGGAATTTCTTGTCACGACGTCATCTGGATTCCTTCCTTTCTCACTTGCTTTGCTCTCTCGAGGGATCTTCCCATCCAAGTCGATTGTTACTTGGGTTGCGGAGAGTCTTGCAAGCCCCTTTGTTAGGCTCACATCACTTCCAGTTGGAGCAGGAATCGCTCATGGATTAAGGTCGCTGCACAAGCACAAGCATACCAAAAAAGAATAAATGTGGATGCATGTCCTTGCTACCAATGGCAGCGCATAAAGGTATATTCATTAGAGATTAGGGTTTATGCACAATTATGAGTACATTGTCCTTGATATTTTGGTCATGTATCCTCCAGAATATCGTGATGTGATTTGCCCGTCCGCACGGCAACATGCCTAACAAAACGCTAGCGATGTCGCAACAACGTTGTGCTGGAGACTTGACCAATCAGAGCCAGGGGAACTAGCACCCTCGAAGGTTCAGCGACTACTTACCATCCTCATTGCGGACCACCGCCATTTTCCTGCCACCATATGAAGATGTCAATAGAATATCAAGGCTAGAGACTAGAGTGCAATCGAGTCATCACTTGGTCTTGAGAGAGTGTGCACTTTGCCTGGACGCGAAAACCACCACAAGTCGCGACCGCCGTCTTGTCTGGTTATTGAATCTCTAGTGGTGGTACGAATTCTCCACTGAAGCGCTTGTCCTTGTAGGAGGTTTTCGCGTATCTTGGTGTGGGAAGATGAAGGTCAAGAAGAAAAAGGGTTCGGATCCTGTAAGCGCTGTCCTGTTCTGACCGCTTTTCCTGCCGCCTCGATGTTTTAGATTCTCCTGACGGATTTAATATTTAAATTTCGCCGTATTCTAAATTCCACTGTTCCGGAATTCAGATCCACGGAGGCGAGATTCGTTAGACTTGTCATGGCATGGATCTAACGAGTCCCTTAATCTTGTGTCTGGCTTGTTCCGTTTGCAGCCTCCGAGAGTGAAGGAAGTTATTGATTCCATTATCTCCGTTCCATTACATGACTTAGCGAAGCCTCTTTCGGAGTTCAAGTGGACTTATGACAAGGTAGGCCCCCTCACTTTCCTGGAATTTTGACGTTCACTGAAGGTGATAGTATTGGAAAAGCGAACGACCCATCGGTGCTCCCATACGTGCTCGTGTACACGTTCGTCGGGACTTGGGTTTTTATTCTGTAAATCCCCGACTATTTCTGTTCGTAGTTCGCCTTTCTGTCATCATTCACTCCTTATGCTTTACTTCCCAATTGGTTCCACGCTTACTTTCTCGTCGCGCTTTAGTTTCCTCCTCTTTCCGCTATCCGTTGTGCGTCTGTTCCTCTCGTCGGAATCATTTCGCCGTGTGACTCTGACGTGTCTGTCTGGCAGGGCGACGTGCTGCACTGGGTAGACCTATTAAACCACTTCGACGCCTTCCTCGAAACTTCAGTGAAATTGCGCAAGGATTTGCAGTTAGAGGGTCGGTTCGCGGGCGTGGATCCGCCGTTCCCGCGGGATGCGGTGCTGCAGGTGCTGCGGGTGTCGCGCGTCATCCTCGAGAACTCTGTCAACAAGCACCTCTACGCGTCCGTCGAGGTAACGAACTCCATCTGTTGTTGTAACGCTGTCCCTGATAGCCTTCATGTTGCCAAACTTGACCATCTGAAATGCTGAGATGTGCTGTCTGTTACTTCCTCCCCCCTTCGCTCGCTCCCCTCTTCCCCCACTCCCTTCTTCCGCTTCCGCTCACTTGCGCGGCCTTAACCACTTCGCCGCAACACGTCTTCATGCTGCTCGCGAGCACGAATCCGGACGTGCTGTCAGCCTGCATCCAACCCGTCTCAGTGTACGGCAAGAAGCACAACCTCCTCCTACCCCTTTCCCCCTTTCCCTTCCCCCTCCCTCCCCCATCCCCTCCCTCCCCTCCTTTCCCCCGCACAGCACGTGTGCACGCTGCTCGCGAGCACGGACCTGGACGTGCTATCAGCGAGTCTCGAACTCCTCTCAGTGTACGGCAAGAAGCCCTTCCAGCCAGGCCGCAGCACTCGCTGGCATGCAGATCCCGCCATCACAGCGCGCCTCTTCGCCCTCGCGCAGGCGTGGGGCGGCAAGGAGGAGGGCCTCGGCATGCTGCCCTGCGCGCTCCAGCAGGGACTGGACGCGTCCGCTCTTGCACTGGGAGGGACGCTGCATTTTGAGTTTTATGCGGAGGGGCCTGCTGGAGTGGGGGCGGTGGGGCAGGGTCAGGGGCTGGGTGGGAGCGGTGGAGAGGGATTAGAGGGTCAAGAGGACAAGGCTGGTGCTCCCTCTGCTTCGCGGTCTCCTGCTGCACCTGCCGCTGCTTCTACAGGTCTATCACCTGGTCTGAGGGTCATCCACGTGCCCAGGGTGCAAGAGCACGTGCAGCAGCAGGGAATCTCCCAACTCGACTTCCTCCAGCGCCTAGTAGACCAATACTCCGTGCCCTCCGCCCTCCGCTTCTCCCTCCTCACCCGCCTCCGCTGCGCCTACTCCTTCCCACTCCTCGCTTCGCGCCGCCGCTTCCTCTGTGTGCGTCTGCTGGCCTTCCGAGTGCTGCTGCTCGCCACGCCAGACCCGGACGAGCTCACTGCGTTCTTCGCCAACGAGCCTGAGTTCGTCCCGGAGCTAATTTCGCTGCTCAATGCGGAGAGCCTGGTGCCCGAGGAGGCTCGGATGTACGCGCTGCTAGCCCTGGCTGCCATGGCGCAGGACCGGCCGCGCCAGTCCACGGTCCTCAGTGCCATCAGCACCGGCGGCCACCGAGCCACCCTGCCGAGCCTGATGCAGAGGACCGTGGCTCAGCTTGGGAAGCCAGGAGGTTGCTCGCCGAAATTCGTTGACGCTCTGTTGGTCCTTATTGCTGCTCTAGTGTCCTCGTCGTCCGGGTGCACTGCGCTTCGGGAGGCAGGTTTGGTACCTACCTTGTTGCCTTTGGTTCGGGACACCAAGCCTGAGCACATGAGTCTGGTGACATGGTCAGTGCAGATCCTAGAGGCCTTCATGGATTTCTCCAACCCTGCAGCAGCGCTCTTCAGGGAACTGAACGGCCTAGACATGTGTGTGGACAGACTCAGGCTCGAGGTCGCTCGAGTGGAACCCACTCTCCTGCCTGTCCAGGGTTTAGGGTCTAGTAAAACCCCGGCTGGTGATTCTGCTGAGGGTGCTGGTGAGGGGACTGCTGGTGGGGGGAGTGGCAGTGGCTCGGCTGGTGCAGGAGCCACTGGTATGGAGGAGGATCGCAAGGGCAAGGCTCCGACGGTGGAAGAGGAGGGTGCTGAAGGGGGGACAGGCGTAGGGACTAGTGGTGGTGCTGGTGCTGCTGCATCCGGGGCATCTCCTGCTGCTGCTGGCGGTTCCGCTGCAGCACCAGCCGTGCTGACATACCGGCAGCGCAGTCTCATTAAAGCCCTGCTGCGTGTCATCTCCCTGGTCAGCTTCGCACCAGGCAGCACCGTCAGGCTCGCCTCAGCATCCCCCGAGCAAGGGGGCATGGGGCGGCTCCCGGATTGCCTGGCGGCAGTGTTTCGGCACGCGAGGGAGTTCGGAGGAGGCGTGTTTGCGCTGGCGGCGTCGGTGATGAGCGAGCAGATCCACCACGAGCCCACCAGCTTCGCTGTGCTTGATACCGCTGGGCTGCCCAAGACGTTTGTGGACGCTGTCAAGGCTGGTGAGCACTGTGTGTGTGGATGTGTCAAGGTTGTTGTGCTGGTTTGTGCTTTACGCCACAGCAGACTAGTAAAGCAAGCACAGTCACAAGCACAGAGAGATGTGCTTTACACCATAGTCTGACACCATCCCCAACGCACTGCTCGGCATCTTTTTTTTTAAATGCCTTTAAACTCTCGCGTTCCCCTTCTGGTTCCCCCTCACTCCCCCCTCACTCCCCCCTCCCTCCCCCTCCCGTCCCTCCCTCCCCCTTTCTCCCCTCCTGCAGGCGTGCTGCCGTCGTCTGAAGCCATCTGCGCCATCCCCAACGCGCTGCTCGCCTTCTGCCTCAACACACGCGGGCTACAGCTCGTCACAGACTCCCACGTGCTCGCCTGCCTGCCCGCCCTCTTCACCTCGCGCCAGTACTCTCGCCCCCTCGCGGGGGACACTGCCTCCGTGCTGGGATCCGGGCTGGACGAGCTCATGCGCCACCAGGTGAGCCTCCGCCAGCCCCTCATGGGCGCAGTTGTGGGCGCGCTCAGGGAGATTGCGCGCATGGGGGGGCTGGAGGAGCGGAAGGTGAGGAGGGCGGGGAGGGGAGGGGGGGAAGGAGGTGATTCTTGGGAGGGGAGATGCGGGGAGGAGGGGATGGTGGAGGGGAGGAGGGGGTGCGGGCGAAGGAGGATGATGCGGATAGCGGGAGGCCGGTGGGGAGTGGGGGGGCCGGAGAGGAGGGGGCAGCAGGAGTGGGACAAGGAACAGGGGGAGGTGCATCAGGGACGGGTGCAACAGGGGCGGGTGCATCAGGGGACGCGGCTGTGCCAATGGAAACAGATGGGGGAAACCAAGGGGCAGAGGCAGCAGCAGCAGCAGCAGCAGCGCCAGTTGCTGCAGCAGCCACAGGGGAGCAGGCACGGGTTGAGTCAGAGGGGGGACAGAGTGTCCCTCCAGGGCCAGCAGGAGAGACACTGACTTCTGGCGTGGTTGCAGAAGAACCGGCGGTTGTGGCAGCGGGAGCTGAATTGGCGGTTCCTGGTTCAGAAGCAGTTATGGCCGAGGCGGAACCGTCAGGAGCAGAAGCAGGAGGAGCAGCAGAGGCAGACGCAGCAGGAGCAGGAGCAGGAACGGCAGGTACTGGGGCTGCTGCTGCTCCCAGTGCTGCCACCGCCACTGCCACACACACCACAAGCAGCGGCAAGGAGACGCTCACCCCAGCAGAGCTAGAGGCATTCCTCCCGGACTGCATCAGCAACATGGCTCGCCTGCTGGAAGCCATTCTCTCCAACGAATCCAGCAGCCGCGTATTCCTCGACCTCCGGGGACTCGACGCACTCCTAGCGCTCTACACGCTGCCGCGCCTGCCGCTGCTCTTCGGCACGTCCCCTGCTGCTCAGGGTATCTCCATGACCATGCGGGCGTTTGGTCCCAGCCACGCCTCTGCTGTGTCGCGCGGGGTGGCTTCAGCGCTCAAGAAGCATGTCAAGTGCGCCGTCGCGTTTGTCACCACGTCTCTGTCGTCATTCTCCCCCACTACCGCACCTACTGCCCCTGATGCTGCTGCTGGGAGTGCTTCTGCCACAGGCGCTTCAGCAGGCCCTGCTGCTTCTACTGCTGCTCCAAATGCTGCTGCTGCAGGAGCTTCAGGCGCCGGCTCATCCCCAGTAATAGTCGGGCGGCGCCAGTTGTCTGACCTGGACGTGGAGTCACGGGAGTCGCTGCTGCGCGCGCTGGGAGTGGCAGAGAGCCTTCTCTCCCTCTCCGCTGTGCTGGTGCGCGCCACTGCTCTCTCTGTTCCCGACCTTGCATCATCCAGTGGAGAGGTGTTTCGAGATGTGGCTGTGCTACACAGGGAGGCTCTTTGGCAGCTCGCAGTGCTGGAGCACAAGGGATTGCCACCACCTGCCCCTGCTTCTACCCCTGCTGCAGTTGCAGAAGCCGGAGGGAGTGCAGGGGGAGGGGGAGCAGAGGGAGGAGAAGGGGGAGCAGGTGAGGGCGGAACGGCTGTTGGAGGGTCAGGGGCTGAGGGAGAAGCGGGGCAGGGTGCGGGCTCTGAGGGAGGAGCTGCGCCAGCAGCTGCAGCTACACCTGCTGCCACCGCAGCTGCATCATCTGCTGCTGCCCCATCAGCAGGACCTTCAGAAGCAGCTGAAACGGGCACAGCAGCAGCAGCAGCTGGAGAAGGTGCAGGAGCAGGAGGAGCAGGAGGAGAAGGGGGAGCAGCAGCAGCAATGCAGGTATTCCCAGGGGAGGCAGCGGACGATTTGGATCTGCTCATGATGGACAGTGACCTGGGCGCTGGCAGGCCCATGCGTAATGGCCCTGGTGCTCTCTGGCCCCGCGGAGAATTAGGTTTTCCGCACCACGGTGGCAGCAGGCACCTCTCACGCGCCTCCCGCGTTGTCCCCGATGCTACAGGCCCTGATAATGGTCCTGAGGCTGGGGTAAGCGGCGCGGCTGATGCTTCTGCTGCCGCCGCTGCTGCTGGTTCAGCCGGTGCGGGGACCACAGATGCTACTGGGAGGAAGAAGCCGGACGGTGCCGTACAGAAGGAGGTGTTGGGGCGGCTAGTGGTGGCTGTGCGGCTGTTTGAAGTAGCTGTGGGGAAGGCGATAGTTCCTTCTAGAAGGCGGGACGATGCTGTGGTGCTGACAGGCCACGCCAAGGTAGCCTCAGCCGCCCTCGCACAGACCTTCCAGGAGAATCTAGGGTTAGGGTTTGCCGGGCGCGACCCAGGGAGGAGCAGCAACGTGGAGGCATGCTCGAGTGAGGAGATACTGGACTGTCCCGCAGTGCGGTGCGTGTATCTGGGGAAGTTTGTGGATGATATGTTTGCGCTGATTGTGGATCCGCGACGGCACACGTGTAACAGCATGCTGCTGAGATTTTTCCACGCACACGGGGCTGTGAAGCAGCTGTTTGCATCGCTGCAGTGGGTGGTGCGGGTCCTGTGGGCCGAGCAGGAGCGGCAGGTGAAGGAGCGGGAGGAGAAGGCTGAGAAGGCCGCGAATGAGGAGACTGCAGGAAAGGAAGCGGGTGGTGTGGGAGTAGAGGTAGCAGGAGGCTCAGTGGCTCAGATGGATACGGATGGGTCGGATGATGCAACACCTCCTGCAGTATTGGGGGAGAAGAAGAGCACAGGTGACGGCTCTAAGGACGGGGCCAACAAGGGCGCGGGTTCTCTTGTGGGATCCGGTTCCTTCTCGCTGCCTTCGTGGCTGCACTCTCCTCTGCAGAGCTACTTCCGTCTCATGGACTGCCTCACCAACCCCCACCTGCTGCTCGCCCCCTCCTCCACCAGCATCTTCCTCACCCACCAGCTCTCCCGCTCAGTTGAACCCGCACCAGCTAAGCCTGAGGACTTTCTCAGGGACATGCAGTCGCAGGTGTTATCTATCATGCTGGACGTGTGGTCCCACCCGCTCTTCTCCCAGTCTGGTCTCGCTGTCATCTCTCCGGTGGTGACTCTGCTCACCCGTGTGCTTCAAGGCCTCAGTGAAACTGCTCCAGCAGCAGCAGGGGGTTCTGTTGCTGCTACTGCGGGAGCAGGGACTGGTGCAGGTGCAGGAGCAGGCGGAGCGGCAGCAGCAGGAGCAGGGGCAGGGGAAGGTGGGGCGAGCGGCGCAGGGGGGCAGGGGGGTGCAGCAGCATCCGCAGCTGCCCTGGCTGCTGCAGTGCTGGGAGGGCGGATGCCGCCAGGACCCGTACCCACGCCTGTAGACGAGGCCCTATTGGATCTGATAGTGGAAATGGGGTTCCCTAGGGAGCGCGCAGAGGAGGCGTTGCGTCAGGTGGGCAACAATTTAGACCTCGCTATGGAGTGGCTCATTAGCCACGTGCCAGATGAGCCTCTCTCAGAAGAAGACGAACTCGCCCGCGCGCTCGCGTTGTCTCTTTCTGGTAATGATGGGGACGGTGCGGGTGGGCCTAGTGCAGGTGGGCAGGGTGGGGAGGAGGGAGCAGGTAAGGCAGGAGAAGGGAAGGAGGGGGAGGGGAAGGGGAAGGGGAAGGAGAAGGAGAAGGAGGAGGAAAAGGAGGAGAAGGGGGGAGAGCAAGAGGGGCGGAAGGAGGTGAGGGTGGAGGAGATGCTGGGAACGATAGTGAAGGTGCTGAGGGACGGAGGGGAGGGCGCTGTGTTCCCCATGACCGACCTCCTGCTCACCCTCTGCAGGCGCAACGCTGGCACAGACAGGGCTGCTGTCGTGGCGTTTCTGGTGGGGCAGCTGAAAGAGTCCTGCGGGCAGGTGAAAGAATCTCCTAGCAGCGTAGAGAGCGAGAAGCGAGGCGGCGAGGGAAAAGAATGCAGAGCGGAAAGGGAGGAGGAGGAGAGGGTCGCTGCTGGTGGTGCGCCCTCTTCGTCGCAGCCCGTGCAATCTGCCTTGGCTCACTGCCTGGCCGTGCTACTCTCAGAAGACCTGCCCTGCTCGGACATAGCTGCCAAGGAGGGTCTCGCTGCTGTTGCTCTCCACATGCTCTCTGGGTATGTTTCGTCTGTGTGCCCCGACTACCACCCCCCGACTCTGCCTCTTGCTGCGCTCGCCTCACCTCCCAGCAAGAGCCGGTCGCAGCAGCAGGGCAGTGTGGGGGTGGTGGGCCAGAGGGTAGAGGCGAGAGCAGGTGCTGATGGGGTGGCAGGGGGGAAAGGAGGGCAAGGAGGGCAAGGGGGAGAGGGGCGTGAGGGCCTTGGGGAGGTGCCCAAGTGGGTGCCTTCTCTGTTCCTCGTGCTGGATTCCCTTGTGCAATGGAAGGTGCCTGGCACAGGGGCACGAGGGGAGGCAGTCGCAGCAGGGGCTGCAGGGGAAGCAGCAGGTGGAGGGGGAGCGGCAGCAGCAAGTGCACCGTGGACCTTCGCGTCGGTACTGTGGTGCAGGTGGTGCAGGTGGTGCAGGTGGTGCAGGTGGTGCAGGTGGTGCAGGTGGTGCAGGTGGTGCAGGTGGTGCAGGTGGTGCAGGTGGGGCAGCAGCAGGAGCTGAGAATCCAGACGCACCTGCTGCTGCTGCTACTGGCGCTGCTACTGCTGCCGGGGCGTCAGAGGCCCCATCCAGTGCGGGTGTATCTGCCACTGCCGCCCCTGCAGCCAGCAAGGGCACTGAGCCAGCAGAGGCAGACAAGCGAGAGGGCAAGGAGGAGAACCGGTTCACAGAGATTGTGGGGCTGTCAACAGGGTACCTATCAGACGACGAGAAGGCTCAAGCCATGGCCCTCATCTGCCCTCTCCTGCGCCGCCACCCCCCACCGTCTCTCTGCCAGGCCGCCCTCCACCTCGCCTCACGCCTCTCCCGCTTGCACCCCGTGGCTCTCCTCTTTCTGGACCAGGGTGGAGTGGCGGCGCTCCTCGCGCTCCCCTTCTCCTCGATCTTCCCGGGGTTTGAGAGTCTCGTGTCGGCCGTGGTGCGGCATGTGTTAGAGGATCCGTTCACGCTGCTGCATGCTATGGAAGCGGAGATAAGGCACAGCCTCACTACACTGGCGAGTCAGCATGGGGGTCGCGTGTCCCCTCGCGTGTTCCTGGGCGCTATGAGTCCTCTTGTTGCCCGTGATCCGTCCGCGTTTCTGCAGGCGGTGGGGAATGTGTGTGAGGTGGAGAGTGTTGGTGGGCGACAGGTGGTGGTGCTGAAACGGGAGAAGGAGAAGGAGAGAGAGAAGAAGGAGAGGGAGGAGAAGGAGAAGGGGAAGGAGAGGGAGAAAGGGAAGGAGAAACAGGCGGGGGAGAGGGAACAGAGAGCAGGAGCAGCACCAGAAGCAGCAGCAGCACCAGGGCAACCAAGCACCTCTGCTCCATCCCCAGCTCCAGGCCATACCGCTCACCACCACTCCTCACCTCTTGCAGCCTCTCCGCAAACCTCTCCACCGCCTCCCCATCCGCCCACGGGTCACTACAGCAAGTCAGCAGACGGCAAGGTGCTGACGTGGGTCTCTAAGTCAGGGCGGGTGCGTAAAGTCCCCTGGAGCTTCGCCTCTGTTGTTGACCAGCTCCTGACGTACCTGCAGCAGTTTCCGCCACCTGAAAAAACGCCTGGGAAAGCACCTGAGAAGCTGTCTGAGGGGCATGGAGTAGCTGCAATGGAGGTTGGGGTTGGTGGTGGTCTGGGAGGGGAGGCAATGGAGGTGGATGCAGAGGGGGCTGAGAATAAGGCAGGCGAAAAGGAAGGAGAGAAGGAAGGGGAGAAGGAGGCAGGGAAGGAGGAAAAGGAGAAGGCAAAGCAACAGGAAGAGGAGGAGGAGGAGAAGGAGAGGGCGGAGTTTGCAATCTCGCGAACCACGCTGGTGCTGCGGCTTCTCACGGAGATCCTACTCGCGTATTCTGCTGCCAGCACTCTCGTGCTCCGCAGGGATGCAGAATCTGCTGGCGCTTCTGGAGGCACTTCAGCAGCAGCAGCGGTGGGTGCAGGTTCGGGTGCGTCAGCAGGGTCGGGCACGCCACAGCCACACAAGGCAACCACCTCCCGTACACACAAGCACACTCCAGACAAGCACGAACGCAAATCCAAACCTGACCACCACCACCATCACCACCACCAGCACCAGCTACAGCCTTCACCAGGTAAGCCTGAGTCATCAGCAGGCGCCTTTGCATTGGCATGGGCATCCCGAGGGGGTATAGTGCACCACGTGTTGCACGAGCTTCTCCCGTACCTCAGCGACAAGCCCAGCACCGCATCAGCAGCAGCAGGCAGCACTGCAGCAGCGCAGGGCGGTGCTTCCCATCCGGGGCACCATCGGCTGGGCACCCAGGCGTCTGCGTTCCTCATTGCGCTGTGCGTGCGCTCAGGGGAGGGCCGGCGTCGCGTGCTCTCTGAGATTTCCAAGAGTCTGAGCCTGTTTGGAAAGGAAGATGGGGGGAGGGCAAGAGAGGTGCGGCAGCAGGAGAAGGTGGAGGGACGAGCAGTAGGTTCTTCTACTGCTGGCACAGCACCGTCAGGAGAAGCAGCTGCAGCAGGAGCAGGAGCTGCAGGTGGAGTAGGGGAAGGTGGGGCAGCAGCGATTTCGGGTGCAGAAGCAGCAGCAGTTGCATCTGCGAAGCTCCAAGTGCCCAACAAGCAGGTGAGGTCTTTCCTTGATCTTATGAACGCGCTGCTCTCCACGCACTCGTCCAATGGGAGCAACCCACCTGGCGGCCCGGGCAGCTCAGCACAAGGTTCCGCCTTTGTTGCAGAGATGGCCAAGACGGCCCTTGAGGTGGGCATGCTGCCAAACCTCCTTGAGACTCTGAGTGTAATTGATCTAAACCACCCAGACTCCCCAAAGCTGGTGAATTCGATCCTCAGGGCTCTTGAGGTGCTCACCCGAGCCTCAGCTTCGGAAGTGCGTGCCGAGCCTGGGAGAGTTCCGGCATCAGGGCAGCGCATTTCAGTGGGTGTAACAAGGGCTGTAGGTTCGGTAAGGCAGGAAGCAGGCTCGGCAGGGGCTGGAGGGGTGCCGAGCCAAGCAGCAGTGGAAGGGGGGACAACAGGGGCGGAAACAGGTGCGGATGGGGGGGCAGCAGAAGGAGGAGGTGGGGCAGGTGGTGGTGCTGATACTGCCATGGGTGATGCTGGGGGGGATGGAGGGAGAGTAACGGCTTCTGCAGGTGACGAGGCAGGAACAGACGCTGGGAGTGAGAGGATGCGAGGGGGGGATGAGGAGGGGAGGCAGCAGGGAGGAGTGGAGACAGGTGGGCCAGGGGCGGAAGAGAGAAGAGCGATGGAGCAGGATGAGAGGCATGGGGGGGAGGAGGAGGAGGAGGAGGAGGAGGAGGAAGGGGGGATGGCGCATGAAGCTGAGGCGATTATAAGAAGGGTGGAGGGCGGGGGGAGTATGAGGGGACCCATGCAGCTGAGGTTCCAGATCCGAGAATTTGATGATATGGGTGTGGATGAGGAGGGTGGAGAGGAGGAGGATGATGGGGATATGGAGGGAGAGGAGGATGGGGAGGAGGACGAGGATGGGGAGGATGATATTGAGGATGGGGATGAGGAGGATGAGGAGGGGATGGAGGAGGGGGATGAAGACGAGGACGAGGAGGAGGAGGATGATGAGGATGATGATGATGATGACGATGATGAGGAGGAGGAGGATGAGGAGCATGGAGGGGAGGACAACGGGCATCTGCCTCCCGGTGGCATGGGCATGGGGGATGACATGGAAGACCATGAAGAGGAGGAGGAGCATGCAGCCCGGGCCATGCGGCGGGACTTTGCACGTGAGCTAGCAGAGGCAGACGAGGAGGATGATGAAGGAGATGAGGACGATGATATGGACGAGGATGAGGAGGGAGCGGATGATGAGGATTTGGAGGACTGGGAGGAGGACGGGGCGCGGTTCATCGAGGTGAGATGGCGGGACGATGTTACGGGAGCCAATCACGTGCATCTGCTCTCAGGCGGCGCGGATGTGGCTGGGTTGATGGACCTGCCGGGGTTCATGCAGCGGGATGTGCTGAACGATCCGCTGTATGCGGATATGAATGAGCCAGTTTGGGGGTGGGGCCGGCACCTGGCGAGTCACCAGCGCAGAGCGGCGGTGAGAAGCACGCTGCAGGGGCAGCAGCAGCTGGCGCAGGGGCAGGGCGCGGGGCAGGGGCAGGCGGGGCGCATGGGAGCAGGCCCCTTGCATGTGCACCCACTGCTGGCCCGCCCGTTCGCCCCTGGGGCGGCCCCAACAGACGCGGCTTCCGCGTCTGCCCCTGCTCACGCTGCTGCAGCACCGGGATCACGGCTCTTTAACCTCCTGGCAGGGATGCAGGGGATGATGGGGGGAGTGGGGGGGCCGATGGGGGCAGGGGGCGGGCCAGGGCCGGGTATGGAAGTAGACGCGGCGTTTGCGAGGGATGTGGCTTCTCTTATGATGGCGTATGAGAATCCTTTACTGGAGGACATGCTTCAGGCCCGGGGATTGCTTGACCCGCGAGCCATGGGCGGCATGGGCGGCATCATGGGCGGCGTGGGCGGCATGGGGATAGGGCATCCGTCGGGGGTGGAGTTTGATCCGGGGAGGGCGAGGGCGATGGGGGTGAGTGGGCTGGGGCCGGTGGTGGGGGGCGCGGCGGGGCGAGGGGAGTTTGGGAGGGTGAATCGGTGGACGGATGATGGGCTGCCGCAGCCTGCAGGGACGGGCGCTGCTGTTGCTCAGGCGCTGGAGAGTGCGTTCCTGCTGTCCATGCAAGGGTTGCGCGAGGCAGGGGTGCAGGGCGGGCGGGAGGCTGGGAGAGCGGGCGGGAGGGAGGGGGGAGAGACGGGGGGCCAGAGTGGTGGTGGTGTGGGGCGGAATGGGGAGAGGCAGCAGGGGACGGGGGCGGGAGGAGAGGAGCAGCAGCGGCAGCAGGGGGAGGGGCAGGAGGAGGGGCAGAGGGAGCAGGGGAGGGAGGTGAGGCAAGAAGGTGGTGGTGGTGCTACAGGGGCAGGAGGAAGTGGTGGGGCAACTGCAGGAGCAGCAGCAGAAGCTGCTGTGGCAGAAGGAGCAGAAGGAGCAGGAGCAGCAGCAGGAGAGCAGGCAGGTGCTGACTCCACTCAGATTGGTACAGGAACAGGAACAGAGGCAGAAGCAGCAGCAGCAGCAGCAGCAGGGACTGAAGCAGATAGGGGAGCAGAGGAGGAGGGGGGGGCAGCAGCGGACGTGCAGATGGGCGAGAGAGGTAGTGAGAGGGAGAGGGAGGCAGAGGCAGAGGTGGAAGTGGCGAGTCAGGACAGTGGAGGGAGTGGGTTCACGGCTGGGGAGAGTCTGAGGAGCCTGGAGGTGGAGGTGGGTAGCATAGATGGCCGCGATGACATGCTGCTGCCTGGTGCCACTGTCGCTGCTCCAGCCCCTGCTCCTGCTCTTGCTGCTGCTGCTGCAGTGGCTATTCCTGCTCCACCTCCCCCTCCTCCTGTTACAGCAGCTGCTACAGCCCCTTCTCCAGCTGTGCTGGGCCCGGAAGGAGAGGCAGTGCCAGCTGCAGCAGCTGCTGTGCCTGCTGGTGATGCTGCTGGCAGGGACGCAGAGCAGCAAGTCGGAGGAGGAGGCATACCAACGCAGGCACTGGCAGTTGTTGGGGCAACGGCAGGAGATGTGGCACAAGGAACAGCAGCGGTAGACACTGCAGGGGTGACTGCGATGGATATGGGGGAACCGATCTCAGCTGCTGAGGGGGTGGTTACTCCCTCCCCTGCTGCTGCTGGTGATTCTGCAGCAGTGGAAGCAGCAGCAGGAGTAGCAGAAGCAGGAGAAACGGTTACAGTGACCGAAGTTGAAGGGGAAGCAGCTCCTGCTAGTGCTGGCGCCATAACTTCTGATGCTGCTGTTGCCACTGCTCCAACAGCTCTGGCGACCGACGCTGCTGCGGCACCTGCTGTCCTTGCCTCTCCTGTCCCGCCCATTGCTGATGCGCCAGGTGGAACAGCTGGAGCTTCAGGTGCTGCAGCGGATGCAGTCACGGGTGCTTCCGGTGGTGCTGCAGGCACAGGCACAGGCGGAGCAGCAGCAGCAGCAGCAGACGAGGAGGAGGACCTTCCAGAGATCGACCCAACCTTCCTGGAGGCTCTACCAGAGGACCTGAGGGCAGAGGTGCTAGCCTCCTTCCACGTGGAGCGAGCTGCTAGACAGGCCCGCCAGCGACGCGCCCAGCAGCAGGCCGCACAGCCACAGGGGCAGGGTGGAGCAGCAGAGGCAGGGGGAGGAGCGGGAGGAGTGGGGGGGTCTGGGGGAGCTGGGGGATCGGGGGGAGCAGGGGGAGCGGGAGCAGGAGGGGGGACAGCTGCAGGGTTGGGAGGGGAGGACACGGGGGAGCTGGATCCGGAGTTTCTAGCAGCGTTGCCGCCGGATATTCAGGCAGAAGTGCTGGCGCAGCAGCAGGCGCAACGCCTCATGGCGGCAGCGGCAGCGGCGGGTGCGGATGGGCACCCAGTGGACATGGACAGTGCGTCTATCATTGCCACATTCCCTGAGGAGCTGCGAGCAGAGGTCCTGCTGACCTCATCGGAAGCAGTGTTGGCGTCACTCCCGCCCGCCCTGCTAGCGGAAGCCCAGCTGCTGAGAGAGCGAGCGATGCAGCAGCAGTACTCCATTCGCCACCAGCACCCCGCACACCCTCACCACGCCATCTTTGGCGGTCCCATCCGCCGCTCGCCTGCTGTTGCCGGCGGTACCCACCGCCCACCGTCGCCCGCCCCACCCGTTCGCTGTGGCTGCTGGCGAGGGTGGCGTGGGGGATGGTTTCAGGGGGTTTAATGCGGTGGGGATGGGGAGGCGGGAGAGGGAGGGCGCGGGGGTAGGGGCCGGGGCGGGGGCGGGGGGAAGTAAAGGTGGTGGGGAGGGTGGGGAGGAGGAGAAGGTGCCAGTGGTGGATGAGAGGGCTCTCAAGGCGCTCATTCGCCTGCTGCGCATCTCCCAGGTGGGTTGGGTTCCTGTGATACTGATAAGCTGTATCTATTTCTACTTGTATTTTGTCCTCTTTTTCTCTCTCACCCCCTAGCTTTCGAGCCTTTCCATGACCCCCACCAGCCCCTGAAGGCCCTGTTGCCGTGTTTTCTCGCCAGTCTCTTTCTCTCCCAACCGCCCTTCCCCCACGCCAGCCCCTGCGGAAGGCTCTGCTGCCGCGTCTGCTCACCAACCTCGCGTCACCTCGTTCTCCTCACCCCTTCTATCCACCTTCCCCTCATCCCCAATCATCCCCCCCCTCCCCTCCTTTGATCCTTCCACCAGCCCCTGCAGAAGGCGCTGCTGCCGCGTCTGCTCACCAACCTCGCGTCACACGCCACCACCCGTGCAGCCCTCGTGCGCATCCTGCTGGATCTGCTGCGCCCGGACGGCGATCCAACGGACCAGCACCCCACGGGGCAGCATCCGATGGACCAGAGTGCAGCAGGCGTGGAGGGCACTGCAGCATCTGCCAGTCAACCTGCAGCAACTGCAGTGGAAGGCAATCAGCCTTCCACAGTTGGAAGAGCTGCAGTCGCTGCAGCGGCTGAGGGCGTGGGTGAGGGTGGGTTAGCAGCAGACGGCGCTCCACCTCACCAGCTGTACTGCTGCCAGTCCAACGTGGTGTATGCTCGACCGCAGCGCCCCAACAGTGAGTCCCTCGCCTTGCATGCTATAGACTCACAAGGCTCGCCTTGCATGCTATAGACTCACAAGGCTCGCCTTGCCGCAACCACCGCTCCCATCCCCTTCTTGCCTTCCCATCTCATCATCTTTCTCCTCCCGCATCCCCGCAATCATCATTGAGGGCTCTGTAACTTATTAGTCGACTCAAAAGTCACCATGAAACGTACCGTTCTTCACCCTCTTCCCACGCAGGCATCCCTCCCCTTGTCTCTCGCCGCGTACTGGAGCTGCTGGTGTATCTGTCTCGCCATTCCATGGCAGCCACGCGCCTGCTGCTGCTCTTCCCCTCCGCACTCACTCGCTTTGCTCAGCAGCAGCACGAGGAGCAGGAGAGGGTGAAGGAGCGCAAGGGCAAGGCCAAGGTGACGGAAGCAGCAGAGGAGGCTGCAGGAGGAGCAGCAGAGGGAGCAGCAGGAGGAGCTATGAAAGCAGGGGAATTGGTGGAGACGGCGGTTGTGGGCAGGGGAACGAAGGGGAAGAGGAAAGAGGGTGTTGATGGGGAGGTAGAGGAGGAAGGGAGAGAAGAGGGGGAAGGGGAGGTGCCGTTTGTGCTGATGCTGCACTTGTTGAGGCAGCCTCTGTACCTGCGTAGCTCTCCCCACTTGGAACAGGTCAGTGCAATGCTTCTTGTCTAGGTCTGTGCACGTCAGTGCTGCGTTTGCGTCTCATACAGGTGGTTACTCGCACAGCACAAGAGTCTTCTCTGTTTCGTGGGGGGTCAGCCCGCTTGCCGCTGCTCATCTCCTCTCCTCTTCCCCCTATGTGTGTGTCTGTGTGTGTGTGTATGTGTTCCATGCAGCTGCTGGGTCTCATGGAGGTGGTAGCTCGCGCAGCAGCAGAGGAGGCTTTGAACCACCTTAGTAATTTTTTTCACTAAGGCGCCTTCCCTTCCCCCCATGCGTGTGTGTGTGCATGGTATGTCCTGCAGTTGCTGGGTCTCATGGAGGTGGTAGCTCGCGCAGCAGCAGAGGAGGCTTTGAACCACCTTAGTAATTTTTTTCACTAAGGCGCCTTCCCTCCCCCCCATGCGTGTGTGTGTGCATGGTATGTCCTGCAGTTGCTGGGTCTCATGGAGGTGGTAGCTCGCGCAGCAGCAGAGGAGGCTTTGAACCACCTTAGTAATTTTTTTCACTAAGGCGCCTTCCCTCCCCCCCATGCGTGTGTGTGTGCATGGTATGTCCTGCAGTTGCTGGGTCTCATGGAGGTGGTAGCTCGCGCAGCAGCAGAGGAGGCTTTGAACCACCTTAGTAATTTTTTTCACTAAGGCGCCTTCCCTCCCCCCCATGCGTGTGTGTGTGCATGGTATGTCCTGCAGTTGCTGGGTCTCATGGAGGTGGTAGCTCGCGCAGCAGCAGAGGAGGCTCTCAATGCTGCCGCTGCTGCTGCCACACCTGCCGATGCTGCCACGCCTGCCACTACTGACGCACCAGCCACGACTGCAGCTACCACGGCTGCTGCTGCTGCTGCTGCTGCTGGCGGTGCTGCCACTGCTTCTGGTGCGGCTGTTCCTGCTGATGCTGCTAGGCTCGAGGGGCAAGCAGCGGGAGAAGCGCCAGCAGCAGCAAGTGTACAACTGGCAGATGCATCCACTGCAGCAGCTGGAGCAGCAGGAGGAGCAGGAGCAGCAGCAGGTTTGGCAGGAGGTGGTGCTTCAGGTCCTGCCGAGCCAGCGGCAGAGGCTCGGATGGAGAGTGGTTCAGGTCCGGGGCCTACCGAGGCTGGGCCTGCAAGTGGGGATGTAGAGATGGGAGAGAGGGAGAGAGAAGAGGGAGGGGAGGGGCAAGCAGGGCAGGAGGGGCAGGAGAGCGGAGACCAACCAAGCGAAACACAAGAGGGAGCTCCAGCACCTGTGGCAGAGACTGCAGCAGTGGCAGAGACTGCAGCAGTGGCAACAGCTGCTGCTGCAACAGCCTCTGCTGCCGCTCCTCCAACTGGAACAGAAACGGCTGCTGCTCCCTTGGCTGCTGCTACCATCCCACCTTCCTCCACACCCACATCCCCTCCCACCAGCACTGCTCAACCCCCTGCCCCCTCGGCTCCACCCGCTCCCCCAGTGCCCATGCCAGTCACAGTCTTCCTCCGAATCCCCCACCCTGACCTCCGCATCCTCTCCCAGCTCCTCGCACAGGAGGGTCTCTCAGACGCCTCCTACTCGCGTGCTGTCGCTGTACTGAGGCTGGTAACTGCTGTGGTTCCGAAGTACCGCGCACTGTTTGTTGCTGACCTGGCAGAGGCGGCGCGCCAGCTCAGCTCGCCGGCCACGCGGGAGCTGCTAGAGGTTGTGGAGGGGGCGGATGGCGGAGAGGGTGGGGGAGAGGAGGGAGCAGGCACAGCTGCAGCAGCAAGCGCAGCGACGGGGAGTGAGAGAGCGACTATGGAAGGGCAGGAAACAGCAGCAGCAGCAGCAGCAGCAGGAGAAGCAGACGCAGCAGCTGGAGCAGCATCGCAAGCACCACCAGCAGCACCATCAGCGCTGGCTCCTGTAACGGGCAAGCCATGGGGGTTGACGAGAGCTGGAGCAGCTACTCTCCGCGTGCTCAAGACCCTCACCTCGCTCCTCTCTCAACCCGCCTCCTCCCTCCCACCCGCATGGGACGGTGACTCCCCTTCAGGGCCAGCATCAGAAGCAGAATGCCAGGCTGTCATTTCAGACCTTGTTGCATCGCTCCACCCCCTCTGGCAAGTCCTATCCGAGTGCTGTGGCAAGCTCGAGGCTCGGTACAAGAAGCACCCTGCCCTGTCCGCTTCGGCCGGACCTGCAGGTTCGGCGGCGGAGGGCGCGGCAGGCGTGGGCGGAGGGGCGGCAGGGGGAAGTGCGGTGCCACCTCTGCCATCAGCAGCACAGCAGCTGTTACCATTTGTAGAGTCGTTCTTTGTGTTGTGTGACAAGACGAGTGGCAAGGGCAAGGGTGCTGCTGCTGGGGGAGCCGCTGGTGCTACTGACTCAACTCCTGCTGCTGCGGATGCTGCAGCTGCCGTTCCTTCTGCCTCCGCTCCTAGCACAAGTACTGCTGCAGCAGCAGCATCAGCGGCAGCAGCAACACAAGAGGCTGCTGCTGCCACCACCACATTAACATCCATCCCCTCCTCCTCCTCCATCCCCTCCTCCTCCTCCTTCTCCGCCTCCTCGCCCTCCTCTGCTCTCCTGCGCTTCACAGAGCGCCACCGCCGCCTGCTCAACGCATTCGTACGCGGCAACCCAGCCCTCCTAGAGAGATCCTTTGCAATGCTGCTCAAGTGGGCGTGGGTGCTGGATTTTGACAACAAGCGCGCTTACTTCAGGGCGAGGATGAGGCAGCTGCACGAGCAACCGCACTACGGCACGCTGCGGATCACTGTCAGACGGCCGTATATTCTTGAAGACTCCTACAACCAGGTGAGAGATTTGAGTTTTTTTGTCAAAAGGCCGTACATTCTTGAAGGCCACCCCAGAATCAGGTGAGCGGATTGGGAAAGAAGCGAGCTTAGTTCAGGGCGAGGATGAGGCAGCTGCATGGACAGCCATACATCCTCAAGGATTCTTACAACCAGGTGAGATGATCTGAATGTTTAGACTGTTACCGATCCAGGTGAAACAACGACACAGTGTGTATGTCTGTGTCTGTCTGTTCTTTTTTCGCGCCTGCTTTGAGAGTCCACTGCAAAAATAAGAATCTCCCTTCACTGCTCTCAAAGAACCTGCACAAACGACCCACTGCTTTCCAACCCTCTTTCTCCTTCCTCCCCACAGCTGCGCATGCGCACAGCAGAGGAGCTAAGGGGGCGTCTGAACGTGCACTTCCAAGGGCAGGAGGGGATCAGCGCGCGGGCTGAGCAGCCTTCTGGGCACACAATCTATCTCCCCAAACCCACTCTGCCTTCCTAACTCCCATACTCCCCTCCCCTCTCCCAGCTCCGTATGCGCACAGTGGAGGAGTTATGGGGCAGCTGAACGTGCACTTCCAGGGGAGGAGGGCATCGATGCGGGGGGCTGAGTTGGCAGCCTTCCTTGGAGGCAACCGATTCATCTCCCCAAACCACCTCTGCCTTCCTTCTCTCTGCCTTCCTTCTCTCCCTCTCCCC